TGATATGCCTATGCTACTATACTAAGCACAAGTACATGTTGGTCCTAGAGTAAATATCATGCAGGCACTCTGGGTAGAACGTTGGAATCTCTTTACAGTCCATACGGTGACAATTAACACTGGATATGTGGGTAAAACTGATACACCGTCAGTAGAATATACCGCCTTATCTCTCTAGACCCGGTGTTACCGCAGCTCTACGTAGTTGTATCCACTCGTTAAAACCTGTCACCTTTTGCTGACTAGGGCGGTAAATGGAGGATATGCCCTGTGAAGTTAGTTATATATATTTTAAATATATTGTCATTCTCTTGCCGAAGAGTCGAGAACAGAATAGCCCAGTTTGATAGAAGCCATACATATACATGTACCTGTGTGCAATGTACGAGCTTCTTCGCACTGTCGGACGCAGCGAGTGATGGTGGCGGTAGACACGGGTATCTGGTCGTATTTCAAGACATTGGCTATGGGTAATAGAACACCCATGTCTTGTAATTTCTACACGATCAAGCTGTAGACGAGACTGTGTAACCAGTGAGGATTAATAATATCTTTCTTTTTGGCAGAAGTTGGGTTTATTGAACTATCAACACAATCCCCCCCAGGTATGTATATTAGCATTATAGCCCCTTTGTATGCCTTATAAGGTTTATTTTCCGCTGGCGGCCGAGATTGGAGACTCTATATCTTAGACAGTGATTCGTTTTCGGAAGCTCCATGAGAAATCGCATGATTTCTTGATTAGTAGTGCTTTGCGTGGTGATAAAGAAAGATTCCCCCTGGGAAAGATCCTGGATGTAGTCTCGTTATATCTTTTTGGGGATGTGTACGGATTTGAAGAGCCGGCCAAACCCTTTACGATAATTAGGATAATAAAACGGAACACCAATGATAGTCAACTGGATATATATGCAATCCCATCAGGTGATAAACAGGTACATACTCCGTGGTTGATTTGTGGCTACGAGGGTATTAGATCTCAGTTCCACTAAAAGGCTTCTAACGCTGTTTCTACTTGTAGGTACGTCTGGTTGAGGATATGGTTGCAATTGTAGTCAGTTCAGGGTACACAACCCTAAACATACATGTAGGTAGGTACATATTTCGGTTATGTACTAGTGGCCTTGGCAGGGTCTACTTCGTGCCTGCATCTTCTTTCAGTGCTAGTGATATCCTTTGCTCCCGCTGTCCGCTTTTGCTTTCTATCTTTCCTGAAATTGTAAATAATTTCCGATAGTTTAAGTATAGTTTGTTCCGGAATATTCCTGACGATCTCTACACCTGTAAGAAGCTAGAATGGCCATAAGGCTGATATTATTAACAGCACATCTGGTTCGAAGAATACCCACTACACACTAAATCTCGCATTTTGTAGACCGCTTTGAGCACGAGGGTATTTCTATGGGGTCTTCGAATGACAATAGCTGACGGAGGCGAAACATTACCCGTATTATTATTTACTCCAGGTAGCTCTTTTCGAACTCGGATTACTCTACTAACCTACTTTATGCACTTGTTAAGGTGGCCGACAAGCCGCGTGGGGGTTGAAACCAAGACTTACCCGGATCATGTCCAGGGAAAGTAAAATCGAGCACCTGGCTCGCCAAGCTTCATCAGCCTCTGTTGGGCTGCCACTTCCCAACAAAGCTTCACACAGGTATTAGAGCCTACAATACCCACAGCACACATTGTGTCAGTAAGGAGATAAACTATGTATAATACTCGGGCGTTCATTAAATGGTCGGATATCGTTGCAACCAAATCCCTACTAAGAATTCCGACCATTTAATAAACGCATGAGTATTCTTTCCCAAAAATATTTTAAGTGTTTATTCTACTCTTTACCCTAATTCATAAACAATTCAACCGTGGTATCGCTCTATCCCTACACCTAAAAAAGAAAGAAATGAAGACTTAAAATGCGCGGTGATCAAGGAATCGGAATGAATTGGACATCTCACGATGCAGAAATCAATCGTGTCATGAAAAAAAGTAGAACTTCCATTAGAAAGTGAGAATTACACCTCCATGAGTTTCGTCTCCGCCACCGTCAGCCGCAGTCCAACTCTAACCCTAATATTTCTCTCCTGATATCAACAACTTATCTACAGTCTCAGGAGCTGGACGATCTTCTTTTCGATGAGTGCCTCGTCGGGGAAAGAAAGAGCCTCTGTAAAATGCGTTAGTATCTAGCCAGAAACGAATATTAAGAAACCATATAATTGGGAATAATTTACCAAGTCCGATGGCGTATGGTGTTGGAACCTCAGCACCAGTGATTCTCTGTTAAAGATTTAGTAAAAATTGGTTTCAGAAACGAGTTAGGATTAGACCTACCTGAGCAGGGGCATCCAAAAAGTCAAACATGTATTCCATGCTCAGCGCCAAAATCTCACTGGAGACACCAAAGCTAGGGAAACCGCTCTCAAGAGCAATGAGGTGATTGGTCTTCTTAACGGACTTGATGATGGTCTCGACATCAAGAGGCTTTACTGAACGTAGGTTGATGACCTCAACCTCAACGTCGTACTTTTTTTTGATGTTCTCCGCAGCTGTGAGTGCCTGGCCGACACAGCGGGACAGTGTCACAATGGTAAGATCTTTCCCAACACGCTCAACTTTTGCTTTTCCAATCTAGAAGTATTATAGTTTTAGTTATGCGCCCAGTCAAACCTAGAATTCTGGATACCTACAGGGAGAACAAAGTCGCTCTTCTGAGCTTCCTCGGACATGGGGAAAGTTTGCCCATATAATAGTCTAAAGGTCGAAGATGGTTAATAATGTATAATTTGGCCACAATTAAGCTTCCTGGGGCTGTACTCGTTCTCAAGAACCATAACTGGATTGGGGTCTCTGATGGCAGCCTTCAACAGACCCTTCGCATCTTCGGCGCTCCATGGGGTGACTACTTTCAAGCCAGGGATGCTTCCGTACCACGCAGAGTAATCCTGGCTGGAGGTTAGCTTGTCCTTCGAATTGTAATATACCTGTGGAACATACCTGCGAGTGCTGGGCGGCGACACCAGAGGCAAACCCGTTGGGGCCACGGAAGGTGATGCTGCAGGGCTGAATACCACCACTCATATAATGGGTTTTGGCTCCAGAGTTGATGATTTGATCAATAGCTTGCATCTATCAGAAATATTAGCATCTATGCCTTATAGATAATAGGGCCTAACTAACAGCAAAATTCCAAGTCATGAATTCAACTACAGGGTTAAGACCAGCAAGTGCAGCTCCAACACCAAGACCGGCGAAACCATGTTCGGTAATTCTGCGCTCAGCAGTTAGTACATAGGTCATGACAGTATGGAAGGCAGACTTACGGAGTGTCAATAACCCGCTTATCGCCAAATCTATCCAACAGGCCTTTGGTAACTTTGTATGCTCCGTTGTACTGCGCAACTTCCTCGCCCATGATGAAAACCTTCTCATCTCTCTCCAACTCCTCAGCTACAATAATTTTATTAGCGATATCTATCTTTCAATGATTTTTGAATTGTTAAAAACGGAAACCTACCAAGGGCTTCATTCAGAGCATCTCTAACAGTGTAGTCTTTAGTACCAGCGCTAGCCATTCCTCTCTGCTGCTGCTGTATTCTAAGAGCTGCTGGAAAAGCCGTTACTCGGGGTACACTGGAGATAGGTTTCCGGACAGCATGACCGGCGATGCGCGATACAAAAGACTTTGCAGGATTGAAAAGCATTTTGGATGGAACGTCCAGGCACGGAGGACAAATTGAGGGAGTTAAAGAGGATGGAGAATGATGGGAGATATTTAGATGTAGAAAGATGGGAGGGAGTGAGAAAGTCTGAGAGGGGAGTAATGGTGGGTTTGATGGACCAGGGCCGGGATTAGGAACTTTTTCGCCTCATACAGACCAGGCTAGACGAAGGACCGGGTCGTTGAATTATTGCAGCTGCACCGCCTCTACTCTAGGGCTTTACTGTTTGTGACTTAAAGTTCCGCTTGGGTGAGTAGAGCTGGGTATTGTGGCTAGATACCACTGGTGACCCCGCTGACAAATGACCTCACTACCCAATCGGAAGACCTATTTCCAACACCAAGGGGCCTTTTCATCCTTCTTCTTCAAGCCGCCTTGTCGCCGCCATCATTACACCAACCCATTCTCACGACATCGTCTTGACGGCCTATGGTTCCGTCGGCTCCACTAATATAATCATCGTAACGACACTTTTCAACGACACTTCCATCAAATTCATCCTGACAGAAGCAGTTCTCCGGTTTTCACATCACGTTAATTCACTCTATCGCCACGCGCAGAGTTGGTACAATTATCCCCCTCCCCCCAATCACGCGGGAAACTTGGGAAATTTCAGAGTCTCCCATCTTTTAGATTTGGAGTTACGTGGGATATATACTTTGGACTCTTGTCATCTATTTGCTTAAGTTTCTCACATCCAACCGCGTCACCTCCGTGTTGAGGGGTTCTCCTTTTTTCCATCTTTGTTGCCAGAACTTTGGCTTTACCCAGAAGAAAGAGAGCATACCCTTCGTGTCAGATCATTATTCTGTTTATTCCCCTCCTGTTTCCTCTGTCTACAGCTCTTTTTTTTTTTTTTTTCATCGGCTGGGTTATTATTTGTTTGGCATTAAAGGTTTCGGATTACTGTGTTTCATTGGTGTCCTGAATCGAAAACATCATCTCAACAAGACAAGGCAAGAAAAAAGAAAAAAAGAAGATTGGCGAGAAAGAAAAGAGTCCTATCCTGTGTAGTTTCGGTTTGTCTTTTTCCAGACCGATTTTCCATCATTTAGTTCTCCCCCTCCTATTTTCCTCGAGTCACTCACACGAAAGTGGTATAATCAACCTCTTTTTCCATTCTCATCAAAAAGAAAAGAAAAAAGTCGCATAGCTCCATTCCTTGCAAATCGTCCATTGTGACGAACGTCACGACCGATTGTCACCATCAACAACAGCAGGGGGAATTTGTGCCTTTTTTTGTTTGTTTAAGTGTTAGGAACTGGAATCGCCATTATGTCTTCATCGGTATTTTTCAAATTTAAATCTCAACAGGAGATGTCGAGAGTTACTTTCGACGGGACCGGAATATCAGTTTTTGAGCTTAAGCGGCAAATCATAACCATTCATCGACTAGGTGATGGAACAGATTTTGATTTGGCGATTAATCACCAAGAAACAGGTGAAGGTATGAATTTTTTTTTTTTTTTTTTTTTTTTGCGCTGATGGACTGATTATTTCCAGCTTATGATTTTTTCTCATGTAACCTGGCTAATTATCTTTGACACTTAGAATATGACGACGATACTACTATCATCCCACGTTCTACACCTATCATTGCCCGTCGCCTGCCTCCGTCTAAACCCGGACGCGGAACTGCGCAGCGATATGTTAGTGGAAAGATGCCCATGAATGCACTTCCTAATGCAGGTCGTCGGGAAAAGAACTTTGGGAATGGGCCTACTGCTGTGAAAAAAGCGGAGCCAGTCTCAAATAATGGTAGTAATTTCCCTGGGCTGAGTAGTGGTGGAGGAACAGGTGATTCTGAGGAAGATAAAATCGCTGCAATGTTTCAGGCTTCGAGCGAGCAATGGAATAAAACCCAGGAGCAGATGGCCAAGTGCGTATATAGTTTTGAATATGATGGATTTTTTATGATTTCTTCGTCATTGCCATGAATACTGACATGCTGCGTAATTGCGCTTTATAGTGCTACCCCAATCCATCGTGGAGGTGGAGGCCAGGGCGGCTTCAAGAAAAACAATGCACCAGCTCCTGCTCACCCGCCACCCAATGGATACATTTGTTATCGTTGTGGCGAGAAAGGTAAGGAATACCAAAAACAAACATATATGTATTTATATATTCACATATCATGGTACTAATGAATGCAGGCCACTGGATCCAGCAATGTCCTACAAACGCTGATCCAACTTTTGATGGTCGTACCCGAATCAAGCGTACGACCGGCATCCCTCGCAGCTTTCTCAAAGCTGTTGAGAAGCCCCTTCCACCATCCGCCGATGATGAAAGCACTACGCCTCATGCTAACACTACCTCTGTCATGGTGAATGCTGATGGAGAGTATGTCGTTGCTCAGCCGGATCAAGCGTCTTGGGAATCCTATCAGAAGAAAGCTGCAACGACTGCAAAGTCTTCCACTCCTGTTGGAAATAAGGAACTACAGGACAGGGGGATTGAATGTCTAATGTGCCATAAACTTATTCGTGGTGCTTCCAAGACTCCTTGCTGCGGAAAAGTGTATTGCGAGGAATGTATTCAGACCGCTTTGTTGGAATCGGATTTTATTTGTCCGAATTGTGAGGCCAAGGATATTCTCTTGGACTCCTTGGTGGTTGATAACGAAACAAGGAGTAAGGTCGAAGAGTATTTGAAGGGAAAGGAGATCAAGGATAGGGAGAAATCAATGAGTCCTTCTGTAACCCCCGGGCTTACTGTAAAGGCCAGAGATGGTCCGAATTTGGCTACGAATGGGAAAAGTCCGCTGTCTTCCACTGTTTCATCTGTCAGTTCGTCATCTACTTCTAGGAAAAGACCTGCCGAGGATGAGCTTGGACCTCAGGTCCCTCGCGGGCCTGCCGCTATGAGAAACCCTCCCCAATATCAACAGCCTCCTATTCAACAACAACACCAGCCTATCCCTAGTAGTGTGTATGGTGGCAATGGTCAGATGTTTAATGTGCCACAGCAAGGGCCGCAAGCGCAGCAACAGCCGTTTCACCAACAGTTTCCTCAACAGAACCAACATCAGAATACACCACCCCCGCAGCAACAGCAGCAACATCAACATCATCAACATCAACATCAACACCAGCAGATTCAGCACCAACAGCAAGCACCGCAGCAGCAACAGCAGCAGCAATACCATAATGGGTATAACCAGTATCAGCCCGGTATGAACGGCATGGATAATATGAACGGCGGGATGCATGGTATGGACGGTACCTATTACAATGGTAATAACAGTAATCAATATTTGCCAAATGCCCCGAACGGCATGATGGGCATGAATGGAATGAACGGTATGAACGGTATGAACGGCGGGATGGATGGCATGGGCGTTGGGAACATGAGAATGGGCATGAACGGAATGAATGGCATGGGAGGAGGATACATGAATCCCGGCATGAATCAAGGAGGTATGGGTATGGGTATGGGTCCCGGTATGGGCATGAACGGGATGGGCAGGGCGTTGAGCGGAGGTCCAAGACCGATGGGCCCGAACGGAAACAACCAGATAATGAACCCATATATGATTCAGCAGTACCAACAGCAACAACAAGAGGCGGCACGGGTAGCCAAGTTTGGATACTTTCCAAACCAGCAGAAAACCGTATTCAGCGAGCCGTTTCCAAGCGAGGAGGACAGCCCATACATGAGGAAACCAGTAAACCCGCACCGACACCAAAGGCCTAAAAGAATCCGGCCAAGTGACTTCAAAGCATTGGGTGAATAGGATATATATATATCTATAACATTCTTTTCTTTAATCGCTTCTCTCTCAAATCTATCTTATCGTTCTTTTCGTTTCGTGGATTTGGGGGCTAGCTTTTCTTGTCATGTTACTTATGCCTTTATAGCTCTGTGACATTTTAAAAAAAATACGTCCCTGTGTATAGAATAGAGGATGCATTTCACCCTCACAAAAGACGGGATGAAACCCCATTTAAATGTTACCGTGAGGGGATGCATGGTTTCTTTTCTTTTTTTCCTGCCGCTCTTTCTCTTTCCTTTCTGTACTCTTTCCACCCTCGTTGGTGTTGCTTTGTTTTGACGGGTTTGAATGTTGGCCACTCCTGCTGTAAGGAAAGTTGTATGAATGGGATCGTATTGGGAAATGGCTTACGGGAGGCGAAACGGTGGTGGGCGGAGTATAGGCGCGAGAATTATTTCCGTTTTTTTCCCTCTCTTTTTCCTCTTTCAAATAAGCTTGATCAAAAGCTCGACTACTTGATAAGTTATTGTGTATTTTCTTTACTCCAGGTCTAAAATAAAATAAATGTTTAAAATCGACTTGGCTCTTGATAGAATCAATGCTCTGGTCACCCAGAAATACAGTCAATTGAGGAATCTTTCCCAACGTACCAGACCAGCAAGAGCTCTATTTATTACGAATAGATATATGAAACTAGACGAACGCGTACGTAAAACCCTCTCAAAATCACGTAAATACGTAGCCTTGAGTCGTCTATCCCCATTGATTCCGTTTGGCATGTTTATCTGGCGTACATGTATTTATGTCTGTACAGCCGCATTCGAAAAGTTTTGGCACCTTCGGGCTAAACTCACGAGGTAGTCCTTTCTACTTTTGCAATTCTAATATTCGAGACCGTTATCAGAGAGCTGCAATGTCTCTATTGCGGTCATACCTGTCAATAAGTTGAGTATACGCGAGTGCCATGGTTATTGGTGGGCTACAATTCATGAACGACTCAATATAGTAGGGTGCCAGTACTTTTCGAATGCGGCTGTACATGTTGTCAGGTAAAAGCTATCACTATTAGCCTTTCTGTTTACCTATATTTAGAGCCAGTAGTTTGCGGGCTTGAATGCTAGCCTTATGAAGTGGTTATCGTCCGTACCACATATGTATATTAGGGGCCGTGAGTTACTACGAGAACTTTTGCTCGACCCCCCAAATCAATGACCCTATTCCATCTCCCCAGATAGTAAGAGAACCCCTCACCTATCACCCAGTTGTACCCCTTTAATCAATGTGTCAGGGTCCCCGACGTTTTATTTGAGTGAGCCGTTGCCATATAGGGTTAGGGTTTCTGCTCTGACAAATCAGAATTCAAAATTATTACAGAAAATTATTAGTCACAAACAATCACTCGTTCAGTTATTAAAATTGTAAGTTTTATTTTTGTTTTTAATAGCACTATACATTTCCTGTGAATCTGGTTATTACGCACGGAGAGCTCTCGGGAACAATGCTTTTAAGAGATTTAAGTACGTATTACTCGCTCTCCTCCATAAGAACCTAAAAATGTAGGTGTCTACTTATGACAGAGATAATTTGTGTGGGGTCACGAAAATTCCCCATACAAAGTATCACTGTCTCCGGCACCTGTATTTTCAGGTTCTTATGGAGGAGAGCGAGTAATACGTACGTGTACTACTGTAGCGAACACTGTGGTTGGTACGTATACGTCTTGGCTAACTGTCAGTTTATATTTACGGTACATACAGGACCGATTTGGTACTGGTAAGCAATTTCTTGCTAGGGTATACTTACGGTTTTCTAGTGATATCGGAGTTCTCTAGTATAGACATACCCTAGTGTAGTCCACGAGCCGGACTGGCTCAAGCCTGTCCAAGCCCAACCCTTCACGAGCCGGGCCGGCTCGAGCCCATAGGCCGGCTCAGCTTGAGCCGGCTTGTGAAGTCGTTTTTTCATACTGGCATGAACGGGAAGTTTGTAGTGGCCATTGGAGGGTACTAAAACACAGTTGGAAGTTGCGGAGTTCATACATCTCGTTATATATTCATGAAAAATGGACTCATTCACCAAGACTGATTCCTTTTGGCTCGAGCCAGGCTCAAGCCCTCGAGCTTTTAACATGCAAGCCGAGCCCAAGCACTGATATCACAAGCCGGTCAGGCTTGAGCGGCTCGTGGACCACACTAACATACCCCTACCTATGGGATATCAAGCTTTTTCGTTTCTTACTATTACTGACATCTCAAGTTATGGTACAGAGGTTTTGCTGACCTGACATCGTACTATACATGTAATTAAGGGACAAAAATCGCCTGCTGGCAGCTGAGGTACCAATCACAGTGCTCGCTACAGTACTACTAAACCCATTCAAGCCTAATACAATAAGAGAAAGCTAGTACAAGAAATACTTCTAAATGTTAATACATGTACTACATGTATCTACATCATCGGCTTCATTTCGTAGAACAACACAAGTATAATATATCAAACGGTGCTAATAAATTAGTTCATAGCATCTGGAAGGTTATATTCACGAATGAATCTATCAATCAATCAATTGGTTGCAATCTTCTGTACAAAATAAATGAATTGCTTTATTAAATACAAGTGCAGTGCGGCCTCCGGCCGCACTATATAATACGCATGTAGTGAGTAAATGAATCGATTGAGGATTTGTCCATTTAGTGCATGGAGGTTGATTTGTTCTGTCTGTCTTATAATTACCACATTCGCTAAACCTTCGAAGTGAAATGGTGCTGTCCAATCTATTTACGTTCAGCTCATGCTATTACTGGTCCGAATTGTTAAAACCTCTGGCATGAGCACATGTACTTAGCTAATATATATTAGTCCTTCTTTCTCAACAAAGGGCTCACGATCGGGATCGGGTACCGCTACGCGGCACACCGACCCCTCCTCGCTCGCACGAGTTCGAATTCTAGGTTAATGCGTAGTTCACAAAGAGATAGTTTTACCCCTTCTGAAGATATATCTGGGAGTTCAAAGTTGATATATGATAATACCCACAATTCTGTCAGCTTGCGCTTTCGATGTCGACTCCCTTCGATCCCTTCCCAGATCAAAAGCAGTTCTTTGTCTATATGTGCCTCTATCTAGGCTGTTGTGACCAATAGAAATGCTTCGTGATTACAATGAGGAAGCTTATACTATTTAGACTTGTACGAACGTACTTCCAGCACTTATTTACAGTTCGAACGTTATGTCCGAGTGAGTTTTCGTGATAGAGATGCTATGTTACTTAAATCAATTGGATACACTTTGACTCAGTTATACATGTATCCCTTTGTGGTGTAGTTGGTATCACACCCGGCTGTAATTGCTTGCTTACCGGTTGGTCACCAGTTCGACTCTGGTCGAAGGGAGTCATCTCTTGTTTCTTTTAGCTATACCATGTTTGGTTAGAAGAACGCATTGCTGGGTGACAAAAGTAACCGTGATTTTACATTGCAACCAGATTTTGTATGGGAATGCGTCTTGAAACAAGTATAACTCCACAACCATAATAGATATGAAATAAAGGATTGTATAATCAGAAAGCCTTAGATTGATAGAACCTATCCCTTGGGTATGAATCTCGAGAACCGACTTTGGGAGTTGGTCGATTTGGGCAATTTTTGCTGGTTGCTACGCAAAATCACGGTTACTTTTGTCACCCGGCAATCCCATACAAAGTACGTAAATCGAACCTCGAAATTTTGAAGGGATGATCTCTACATCGTACGTATGGGGTTGTTTTATGCAACAAGAAAAAAATACATATTATATCTGTGATAGATATTTTGTCAGATATGTATGTAGAGTATAGAACTGTGGCGAGTAATCTGGCAGGCAATAAGAGCTCACCTTTTTGCAAACTTTAGACCAATACCAATTGCCTTTTTTGTCTGGGCGGCCGCGGCTTCAATCCGACGTTGTAGACGCAATCCCGGGAATATGGCTAATTTTACCTAAATTCAAAAAGTAATAAAAGAAAATTCTTGAGAATAGGCACTGTTCTTATAGGAATATGGAGAGCTGTTCTTAACTTTCAGGAGTGACCAATAACTACTACTATTTTGGAGGAGTTGGTCGTACCCCATACTCCCCAGGAGTGCGTCTACATACACGCACGCACAGCGGCAGGTAACAAGCGACGGAACGCCCTGAGGTACAGTTATACCTGCAAACACCGTATGTTGGTGGCGTTTTACCTAAAACAGGTATCACTGTGTCTCAGGGCGTTCCATCATTTATTACCTACCGCTGTACGTATGCGGTAGCAAGTAGAGTACATTCATGTATCGATGACTGCATTTATTTCTACTCTATTCTCGTTTTGGATGTGCATGATCCTCTTTGCATGCATGTATATGCGTACCTTTCCTTTACAGGAACAGCATTATGATATCGTTGAAGACTACACGTAGTTTACGAAAATGACTACCACAACATCCCAAAGTAAAAGCATTTGTACTATGCCTATTGCGCTAGCAGTAAAGTATTGAGTAAGGAAAAAAAAAAAAAGGACAAGACAGCCATTCATTCATTATGTAGTTTGTTAGGTTTGCACAACACAAAATAAATTTTCCATTACTCCTTAGCAATGAGTGCCTCGTTCTCCTGTTGAGCCTTGATGAAGGCCTCCTTGAACAGGTTTGCGTCTGGAGAGAGGAAAGCAGTTAGTATCGAGTTTCTTTGAGAAATGGTAACGGATCTAGAGAGAGGTAGGACTTGCTTTCAATGTTGGCAAAACGGATGGCTAGAGTCTGTGCCTCTGGTTCACCCTCGCTTACGTCGGCGGAGGTGTTCCATACCCAACTTCTGTCGCTGCCAACATTTGGAGAGAGCTTCATGTCGGGAACGACTGTGAAGAGTTATATTAGTCTCTATTTTAGAACTAATTTCCCACCTCATTTGGGTGCAGAAATGAGGACAGTGCAAACTTACTATAGTGGTTGGCGCAAACCTTAAGAGTCTTATCTCTTCGCATAACGAGCCTGGTCTTACCGTTCTCCTTGTGCTTGAGGAGTCTCACGTCACCAGTACCACGCTCCTTCCACTCACGAGATTCCTTGTCGAACTTGAACAACTTGGCGCGCCTGAACAAAGCCTTGTTAGCCTATAAAACTGGAGTTTTCCCCATGATTTGCTGCTAAAGGATCCACAAGAAGGATGGAAGTAGCGATAGCTTAATCGCAGCGGCAAAGACTTACATCTTGAATGCCTGCTCCTCAGACTCTTCGTTGGTCTTGACATCGATCTTCTCGAGGCTGACTAGAGGCTCAAAGTGGACATCCGGTGATTCAGGTGCTTCTTCCTAAAAAGCGGCACATTCACTATGTCAGCACAGTAGATTTTAACTAGACCCTAACTACTAGTAGGTGTTGTTGACTAGTCAGGTACAACCACCACCAAAAATATCACAATAAGAACGAACCTCGCCAACAGCGCCAGCAGAACCAGAAGCTTCCTTTGAAGCCTTGGGCTCTTCATCGTCATCTTTTTCCTCTCTCTTTGGCTTTGGTCCTCCACCGCCAAACATGGCGAAGACATTATCAGAGGTAACAGACTTCTTGGGCTCTTCTGTTTTCACTTCAGTGGCGGCAACGGGGGTCTCGACGGCTTTCTCCTCCTGGGCCGCAGGGGTAGTTTCGACAGTGTCAGTCATGGTAGCAGTAATAGAGAGGGTTCGTCTAGCTTTCAGGAAGAAATATTCTGGGGGAAATAGAGGTAGTGTTTGACCTTAACACTGGCGAAGGTAGTAAACACAACGATGTAAGGGGTGATGTGTGGATGAGATGTGTGGATGGGTGGGATGGAGGGGCGAGGGTGGGAGTTGCATCAAGAGAGGGGAATGATGGTGGGGTTGACCAACGGCACAACAGGCCTAGGGCTTGGCAGTCAGTCAGTCATGCATCACGCATAGGACTTTTTTATTATGACTTGAGTTGCATAACCGATTCTTAGAAGCCATTTGCTCTTTGTTCGCTTTGCCATTTTACTTTTAAAGTAAACTTCAGGGTTGAATCCCGCTAAAGCATACTCACGCTATATGTAATAATTGAACCGTCCCCGTGCTCCAGTATATAATGGAGAGTTTGAAAAAATATTTCATGATGTACGAATTATTCATTTGCTCAAGTCATATACTTATGAATCGGTGCAAGTCCAATGGATAGAATGCACGTTGGTCTATTTATACTGTGATTAAGGAACAGGAAATACATACTCGCAGTTCAAATGAGGCACACATGCATGCGTATCTCGTAAATACATGTAATCCAGAAACATTTATGTTCCTCACGTGCTCTATACCAGTAATGAAGTACCGAACAACGGACAAATAATAATTACTGGTGAGAGTGCTGCTCGGCATAAATTAAATATTGAGATGCTAACGCAAAAGTGTATGATGTCTGTGAAGCCTGTTCACTGGCATAAAGAAGGTTTCGGGGGAAGCTGGCGCCATGCTTAATCATCAAACGATCTTACTGAGTGATACTTTGTGCAACTGCCATACGTTCTTCATTTTACGCATACTAGCTGTACTATTTGGAACTCCACCTCGGATAACTGTTTCAATGTCACTTTATTTTTCCCTCGTGAACCCGGATCCATCCGCCGCAAGCACAATTTCTCCAGCAGCAATGGGTTCCGGAAGCAGTAAACCAACAGAGCACGTCTTTTACGGGTATGTCTGCGTTTTCTAATTGCTTAAAGTAATGAAATACCGCTAACAGGATAGTAGCGAGACGCCTGTGCGATTTTCAAACGATCTCGTCGAGTCGTTGCAGTCCTCCTCCGAGGTTGACCCCCACCCTCTCCCGTGGGCAAAATGATCATAAAAGTCTAACTTAATGATCACCGATAGACCGACTCCACTCGCGAGAAAACCCTCGAACTACACATCCAGTCCCGTGTCGAGTCTGAGCTCCAACGCCTCCAGCAGCGCGAATCGCAGATTCTCAACGACCTTGAGGAGAAGCTTACGGCCGAAGACAAGAAGCATGGCGGCGTAGAAAAAAACCCTGGGAGGGAGAAGGTCCAGGCAGAGCTAGATGCGCTGAGGCAAAGACTGAACGGTATCCCGAAGGTGCATGAGCTGGACAAAGATGTGGAGAAAGCCAGGGACAATGTTATTAAATGCTTGCGATCAAAGTATGGATCCCTGCTTTTGTCTTTCTCGAAATCATTTGGGGAGTTCCTCTGAGAGTATGGACTAATCTCAGCATTAGTGACCGGACACCTCTGGACTGCTACCAAGAGGTAGAGGAGTTTAAAGCCCAGACCCGAAGACTAGAGAGGGAATTTGTTGTAAGGACAGTTGGTAGAGATTTCCCGGCAGGTCACTAGACAGGTTTGAGATGTAGATAAACGTTTTCGGGTGGAATTAGAGCAATATCAAAAGCATGTTTTCCTTTTAATTAACATTTACTCGGTGAAAGTTAAGGTTTAGTCATTTGAAATGTCTAGCTATGGGTATTGAAATCTAGACCTATACTCAAGCTTAAAGCCTTTGTATCAATCTGGTTTTTTTCTTTGTTCACTTGTGTTGTATTCATCTAGGCACAATTACTAATACCTAGAGCTAATTCCAGGGTAGGAATCCCAAGACAAGATTCTTTGTTCTATTTTACCAAGTATATAAGTGCCTGTCACCCGTATAGCGCCCTGTTCATTGCCAATGGAGAAACCCACATACAAATCGAATGCGAGGGAGCTCCAGCAAGCCCTTCGACTTACCGACGATAAGATACTGGATGTAAGAAAAAATGTTATCCGGCTATACCAGTACATCAAGGAAGTTCTGGCACCCCCTGGCACAGACCCAGCTGTATATGTCGAATGGGATGCCCATACTATGATCAAGTCGTTTAACAAAATCAATGAGTACTCGACCTTCGATGAGGATGATTCGATTCGCTTTCGTTTTGCTGTTGGATTTGCCCAAGGAGGTCTTCAAGCCCAGGGCAAAAGATTTCCCAAATTGACTGCCGAATTGCATGCCAGGCTGAATGACTGGGGGACACTTAGATCTGAATTGGGAAGGATGGGAGATGATACTCCGAATAGTATCAAGGCTCAATCCACGGAAATATTCGAATTTACAGAGGAAATGATATTCAGCTGGAGAGAACTGAGGGAAGTCATTCATATTCCAGGTTTTGATAAGGGCCATCAAGTTTCATCTAGACCGGCTGCGGCTCGTTTAGCTCGGACACAAAGGGTGGTTTAATCGTAATACATGTATTTGATTTATCCCTCACAAAGGTGTCCCTATAGAGACCTACTTAAATTATTTGAAGGGATATTTATGAATAAATCTGATAGACCAACAAATACATATGACAGTTACACTGCATCTGCACAATGGACATATTATGATTATACTTAGTATGTATTAACAATGATTTGTGGTTGAATCACTTAAGTACATGTATACATGTATACACACATGAGCATGACGTACAAGTACCTTATACGAAAACCTGGACGTAAATACTACATAAGCATTGTCCACATCCTAATATTCCGTGACTTTGGTATTAATATATATATACATAATGTGTTTTCCAGAGAGTATTCTACCTACCCAGAACGAATGTAGTTGCAGTAGAGTATTATGATACAAATTGAGAGTAGAGATATAATATCAGACCCATGAATCCACAGACTCCGCCAGTGATAAGATTCCCTAAATAGCTCAAAACACCCGTCTAGATTTTATGCAAGGTTATGAAATAGATGCCCTGTACAGAAATACTCTAAGGTTTGTCTTACAAGCTCCTCGGCTCAAAGGTTTCCTCGTAGCATTGTACCACATCGCCCACTTGAAAGTCACCCCAACCCTCGAACCCAATCCCGCATTCCGTTCCCTTCCTCATCTCTGTCACATCTTTCTTGACATTTTTCAAACTTTCCAACAACCCCTCGAAAATAGTCTCCCCATCCCTGAGAACTCTAACTTTGCTGTTCTTCGTGACTATACCTGTTTTTACCTTACAACCCGCAACAGGTTTGTATACCTTCGCTTTAATGTTATAACTAAACACTACTTCGATATCCGCCTCTCCAGTAATCTTGGTAATTACGGTTGGTGATAGGCGATCCGAGAGTACCCGTTTGGCATCTTCAATAAGATGATAAATGACATTATGTACGAGTATCGTCACACCTTTATTACGTGCGTAAACGATAATCTCGGGATCAGGCGTGAGGTTGAAGCAAAGAATGTATCCTATGAACAATTGATTCAGTCATGAGAACTCACTCGATGCACAAGTAGAACAGTGAATAAATCATACCATCGATAGCTGCTGCATAGTCAACATCAAACTCGCTCACATTTCCAAAGTTACTTCGGACGACCTTCGCCCTAACTTCGTCATTCCCAAGTTCTTCAACCGAAGCAACTACTGCCTCAACCGATCCACCAACATCACCCTTGACGACAAACCCAACCTCTTGGCATTTTGACTGAGCGGCAACCTCTTTCTTGGAAGTCTTCTCCCACGCAAGCACTGCAGCATCAGGGTCCTCTTTTTTCTCAATAGCTTCCTCTCTGATCGTAGCTTCCATCTCTTCCATCTCTCTGTGCAAACGCCTCTTTTCATTGATTGCTTCCATATCAGCCGCTTGGCGAAGCCGTTCAGCCCTTTCGATACGAAATTCGATCACATCTTTGGCCTTTGCTTCGCTATCTGCCTGTATTGCGAGCTTTCCTGCTTCAGGCTGATCTTTCCAACCCAAAACTTGTATAGGGGTTCCGGGTGTAGCGAATTCTACTTCGACGCCACGTTCGTTGATGAGTTGACGGACCTTGGCCCAAGTAGTACCCGCGACAATAGAATCGCCTAATCGAAGCGTCCCTCTCCGAACTAATACAGTTGCAATATGCCCGCCTCGCTGAGTACCAGCTTCAAGAACCCAACCTTCGCAAGGGCCATCCACCTCTGCCCGCATATCCAGAACTTCGCTAAGGGTAATGGCCGCCTCCGCTAAATCGTCCATGCCCTGCCCAGTCTTCGCGGATACACATACGACCTGTGTATCGCCACCATAGTCTTCCACATCAACACCGTATCTAGCAAGATCCTGTTTTACCTTTTCGACATCCGCGTCCTCCTTGTCAATTTTATTTGCCGCTACAATTATGGGAACGTTTGCAGCCCTCGCATGTTTGATCGCCTCTATCGTCTGTGGCATCACAGAGTCATCGGCAGCAACTACGAGAATGACAATATCAGTAACATTTGCTCCCCGCTCTCGCATAGTCAAAAAAGCTGCGTGGCCGGGAGTATCAAGGAAAGTGATGTTTTCCCCAGTAGACATATTCACTGAGAAGGCACCAATGTGTTGCGTGATACCTCCGTGCTCAGTAGCAGCAACAGATGCTTTTCGGAGCCAGTCCAAGAGCGATGTTTTGCCGTGGTCGACATGACCCATTATAGTGACGACCGGGGGACGTTGTGGGAGTATAGAACGGTCTTCTGGCGGGGGTCTGTATAATGTTAAAAACCTGCCCTTCCATTGATGACTATTATGACGATCTTACCGTGGAAGTAAGTCGCGCTCTTTGCTATTGTCAATGATCGGCTCATAATTAAACTCTTGAGCAATAAGACCCGCTGTTTCCGCGTTCAAAATGTGATCATGGCTCACTTCAGTGAAGCCCATCTGCTCCATCTGCAGTGTGAAATCTTCCAGCCTGACCTTCAACGCTTTTGCTAGATTTGGTATACTGATATATTCCGGAAGATACAGGGGTATCATTTTTGGAGCATATTCCTTTTTCTCTCGTTTCTTGGCCTTCTTAGCGGCTTTCTTGTCTTTACGCGATAGTACTTCTCCTTCCTCTAATATTGCAGATTCAAAATCATCGTAAAGAAGCCTGTTTTGCGACTTATCTCGAGATCTCCCCGCTCGTCGTTTCTGATAATCATTGAGAGTAACTTCTAAAGGTCGAGTGATGGTTTCTTCTTGAGCGAGGGACTCCGATTTTTTGACTTCTGATTCATCTCTATTGCCAGCATTCCATGTTTGTTGCTTTGGAACATAGGTCTCGCTGAATGATGGAGTTCCCGGATTATACCCGTCCCTTGGGGCGTATCCACCCCCCGAGGCAAATGGATCTCTTTGTGCGTATCTATCTTTTGATGTATATTCTCTTGGGGCATATCCTCTCGCAGTATATGGTTCTCTCGGGGTATATTCTCTCGCGATACTCGGCTCTCTCGGGATATATTCTCTCACAGTAGCTGTACCCCTCGGATTGTATCCATCTCCTCGATTGTACCCGCCCCGGCTGTAACCCTCTCTTGGAGCGTATCCATCTTGTTGAGAAGGAGTGGTCCTCCCTGGCATTGGAGGGCGTGCTTGTCGATTAAAACCTTGGTAGCCACCTCGAACTATGCTACCTCCTTCCTGATTTTGCGCCACCCCTCCTCGTCCATATCCCTCAGTTGACCACCTATTGGATCCAGCATCCCTACGCCCCTCCTGTCCAGAAATACTCACGCGGTTGATTCTGGGAGGTGCGGGAGCGCCTTCATTCCTGGGCCAACTACTACCGCTATTTCGGGGGGGCGCAAAAGATGAGAGGATTGCTCTGTCTATCCCAGAACTCCCCGATGTAACCGAATTAGATGGATCCCATTTGTTCTCCCTTATAGCCGTCGGAAGTTTTTTTGTAAATCCTGCATATCCTTTATAACGTTCTCCAGTGGATCCGGCTTGTTCTCCTTCCAATCTCGGGCCGGTGGTATGAAGTTGTCGGAATAGCAACCGTTGGTTACGGGCTGAGGAATTCCGTACTGCACAGAAAACGCATAGCGGTAGTCCGGAAGGCGTCTAAATCACACCATTAGCAAAACCAAAGCCTCAAAACTCTAGATTTCTCAAGTCAATTGAGGTAAAATTGGTGAAATACCAATGAAGTCCTTGAGTTTTTGAGCATTATCAGCGGAGAAAGGCGGTGGGACAATCGATATCCTGAGGTTGAAACAAACAGCCGTTTGCCACTGTTCCAAAATTTCTGACAACGTATGTACATATCTTATCTTATCTTAGAATCTTATCTATATATCATGTGGTTCGTCTCCAAGGGTGAAAGATGAGTCATGTGTATAAGTGGAACTAGGCCGAACATGTAAACTACTGTCTTCTTTGGCTACATAATGCCTTTGTTCAGCTGGCTTGCACTGAAGCGCACTGCTTCAACTCCATCGCCTTACTAAGTCCAAGCGTTTTTCCACATCCCGTTATCCCCAAATTCCTCAAACTCACCCGCTGCTACCCCGAGAATTCCCTGTCTGTGGAGCCTTGCGTTTTCGTTGTTAGAGGGAAATCTTGCACACTGCCGCACGTTCCCAGTTATTCCGTCGAACGTCGTTCCCAGAAGAACTATCCGGTCTACAATCTACGCCGCCTGATCCAAAGCCCACATCTACCGGCAGCTGGGAGTACAATCCATCATGCCCGATCTCCAGGTTCAGCAGCAGCAGACAGAGCTTCAGTTGCGTGATGATCAGCATCAGCAAAATCAGCAACAACAACAACAACAGCAGCAGCAGCAGCCGCAGCAGCAGCAAGTACAACATCACCAGGGGTTCCAGCGTAAGTCTTCAATTCTCGACGACCCAAATGCTCCGTCGATTCCCGCACCTAACCAGAATGTACACCTTAATCCCCGGGCTGTATATTTGCGAGATCACGTTTCGATAGCGACTATTCACCCAGTCACTCATCCTAGCATGATCCCCGCTTCACTGATTGAGTTTCTACTCAATCAGTTCAATGAGGAGCTCGAGCGGGGTGATACGTGCCCGTTTGACCAGCCTATGGATATCGAGCAGTTCCAACAGTTCTGGTTCGGTACATTTGCTGCCGTAATGTTGATGGGTGGGAAAGAAGAGACCAATAACCTCCTTGAGGAACGGGATTGGGCAACTCAGTGCCTTGGTACCTTTTACGTCAAACCTAACTATCCAGGTAAGACAAGGTTAATATGAGAATCTGTTTCAAATACTGATTTTCTCTCCTACAAGGCCGCAGTTCGCATGTATGTAGTGGTGGGTTTTTGACTACGCATGCTTCTCGAGGGAAAGGCTGTGGAAAGCATATGGGAGAAGCATATCTTGAGTACGCACCGAAGCTTGTATGTGTTGCTTGGCTTATTTACTCAATCGGGTTCCGTGTTCCTCCACACTAACTGCTTTCTTCTTATCAGGGGTTCACCTACTCAATATTCAACTTAGTTTACGAAACAAATACAGCTTCTCTAAAGATTTGGGATGGGTTGGGTTTCAAGCGCATAGGAAAAGTTAAAGGTGCTGGCCGACTCCGTGGGCACTCTCAACCTATCGACGCCATCATTTATGGTCGGGACCTTAATGACGATGATGACTATGTCTCGGACGAACGTTTCGACAAGATCCGTTTCTACCTGGAAAAGGGCAAATACCCGCCCACAGCGGATCGCTCCGAAAAAAGCCGACTCCGCTCTGCTGCAACTCATTACAAGCTTGATAATGGCAGGTTAATGTTAAAGGACAAAGAAGTAATTTCTGACGGCCAAATGCAATACGAAATTGCCAGGTCAGTGCATTGCCAAGCACACGGTGGTATCAATAAGACCACCGCAAGCATTGCCGAAAAGTACCATTGGGTCCGCATCAAGGAAACTGTATCTCAGGTTATCAGGAATTGCGCCGAATGTAAAGAACATGCCAAGGCCCCTGTGGTTCGAGGAGAACGTTTCAGCAGTGAGCGCAGCCAGCCATCACCACAGCAGCAACAGATACAGAACCAGGAGGCCACCCGGGCTGCGAATATCGCACAGGCTGCGCAGATGGATATACCTGTTGACCCAGCCATGATGGAAGATGTGCAACATACACATCAGTTTGCTCCCGTTGCGAACATGAATCCTGCCTCTGAAGACCCCGCTGTTGCTGGACAGACCTCGCAGCACGCTGCAGCGGTCGCAGCAGCCCGGGCGGCACTTAGCGAAGGAGATGCACTAACGGAGGAAGATAGAACCATGCGGGATCGTCATCTTATGGAGACTCTGATGGCAGAAATGAAAAGAGAACCTGTCACTGAAGCCGCAGTAGTGGCCTACCAGGAAACTGACGTTGAGCGCGAAGTAGAGAGGCAGCTACAGGCAGGGATGGAAATCGAGCGATAGAGCACTACGCAAATAATTTTATAATAGCGACAGGACCATGGGAGAGTATTGATTGACGATTGCACGGATGGTGGCTTTTTGTTATCTGTTTTTTGTTTTTGTTTTCTGCTACAATTTAGTTGGTTTTATTTCCTGCGATGGGCCTCATGGTGTCCAATGGTTTGATTTCCCTATGCATTTAGTCAAGGTGAGATGTTTTCCTCTTACATATTGCTTCGGACTACTGGCCTCTTTGGGCCCGGGGTCTTTCATTACTTTATATTGTCTACTTCTCCTTCCTTTCCCTTGTCTTTCTAACTGTAAGGTTGAGATCCCTTTATATCATTTCCCAGTCCTTTCTTCATATATGTCTTTTGGGTTGCATCAATCATATATTGTCTATTGCGATTTAGGCCCTTCAACAGGCTGTAATTGTGCATAGAGGTTGTAGGAAGTAATGCATGTAGTAACAATAGATATTCTTCGAAAATATCGACTGGATTGGAGTATTTTGACTGCCGTTGCTGCAGAGGTTCGAACCTTCTAATTGGTGTAATTACTCCTACAAGTTACAAAATTCTACGAAAAAACGACGTAGATTTTGTTTTTCCCTCACGAGCGTTGAGCGAATAGCACAGATAAGACCGCCGCATAGAAAAGTACATAGTAGCCAATAGGTCACTATGTTGTTATCGCATTGAAGTATGGGCATTGGATATAAGCACCATCGCTCTTAAGGAGGTATAGTATGTAGCGATGATTGTTGTCCAGGCACAGCATTGATGAGCTTCGACCAGACATGAGATCACCGCTGCCTCGCTGGATCGCGAAATCCAACGAGGCAGTTGGTCAATCTTCCCCCCATTTTCCCCTCCGAAGTTCCGTAAGATTCGAGGACAACAGAGTGAATATGAGGGGTGGTTTTTTGTAACAGGGAGAGGAAGAAGAGCACGAGAGAAGACGCGATTTTATACTCGCAGTGGTTGGTCGTGGCTGGGCGCTTGGAAGGGCTAGGGGGGGGTGCGGTTTTCTCCGGGATTGGCCGCCGAGGAGGCAGAAAGTATGAGGAAAGGATTGTATGAGCATAGACATAACTAAATGGGTTCAAAGACTTGAGGAAATACATGTAGTTATTGAGCGGGAAATTGTATGCAAAAATGTCTGAAAGGAATTCTATCCATCCCTACAGTACTGTATGTTTGCAATGCCAGGTCTGAGGTAGACATACAATCCGTGGATATTTGAGCCCCTCCAACACTGCCCACCAACTGCGTCTCCTTCAGGGTACCCCTCTAAACTTCTTACGCGCTCCACGAACAACCACTAGCAAATCGGATATTTTGCTTTCAAAACCAACCAAACGCTACATACAGAAACTTTCAAAATGGCCCCAGGAGCACCCCGTGGAAAGAGAAAGGTAGTCCGTGGCCGTAAGTTCCCATTCACCACAGTACGCATAGCTTAACTACAATACAATAATGTTTAACCACCCCCCCTCCCCCCAGGTGGCCGTGACTTCTCGAGAAACCTCCAACCCCTCGACCGCGAAGAAGGTTCCGGCGAAATCGAGGGCATGTGGGCTGTACTTATCCCCGTCTACTCTACGCCCCGTTCCCCATTCTGACACCCGAACAGGACCCCCGCGACCCCAAACCCGCCGTCGAGTCCTCTTCCGAAGAGGAAGAGTCTGACGACGACGACGATGAACCCGTCAACAAAGCTGAGATGACCCGCGAAGAACGTAAAGCCGCCGACAAGGCTCGCAAAGCCGCCGCCCTTGCCCGTAAAGCTGCTTCCGCGCCCGAGCCAGGCGATCTCCCGTCCGGCTCCGAGGATGAGGACGATGAGCCTGCACCAGTTGTCAAGAAGAAGGCGCCTATCGCGGTAGCGAACCCTAACGCTGCGGGAGTTGTGGACTCGGCACTGAACAGGAAGGAGAGGGAGGCGGTTGAGGCCGCTGCCGCAAAGGAGAGGTATTGGAAGTTGCAGGAGCAGGGAAAGACGGATCAGGCCAGGGCGGATATGGCTAGGTTGGCCATTATTAGACAGGAAAGAGATGAGAAAGCGAGGCAGAGGAAAGCCGGTATGCTATAATACCCAATATCTCTTTCTCTATTCTACTATTTTTAGTGATGGGACGCTAACTAACTGGCGTGGTGCAGAACTCGAAGAGAGGAAGGCAGCGGCAGAGGCAAAAGCTTCTTCGTCTGGCCGAAGAAAATAGCCTTTTTCTGTCTTATTTAGTTTTTTTTTTGTTCACTTTTCGTCGGCAACTCGAGATGAATTTTCTGAGTTTGCTTGCCTGTGTCTCCCGCGCGTGTGCTGGGTCCAGGTCCCTTTAGCTACATGTAGTTTATACAGATGCGATCGCGGCGTTAGCTGATACAAATACAAATACCATTCTCGAGATCTCCTTGATATCGTAAATACTTTTACTGTTTATATTTGAATATGTCATCCAAAATCCCTTAGGAGAGAAGTCAGAATAAAGAGGTGTCCGCCACTGTTTCCCCACCAAAGTATGAACTATAACCCTCTTCGGACTGTGATCTATTTAATGTATTTCAGTCGTCCTTGTGATTTTAACCCGCAAGATCACTCGATATAATGACGCCTTGACCATTAAGGAATCCCAAGGGCCAGAAAACTCCGAGGGAGCGATTGTGCATAGAAACAGAGCACCCGATTAACTAAAACCCGTTGACAGTAGCATAGCTTTCAAAAAGCCAGATGGAAAAGTGGCTTTTATTGTCATCAGCTGCCGTAGTCCGGTTCTTTCATTTTTTTTTTTAACTTTGAAAAGAGGGAGTCCGGGTTCGGGGGCCACCAGACTGGATCCTCAAACCCTAAGGTGTCCGAGTGATATCGTATGATTCCCACATCAACCTTAAGCTGCTAGCTGCTAGCTGCTCTGGCCACCGCCTCCCGCCCCTAAACCAGGCCAGAGCTTAGTATCTAAGATGCTTATGGGATGGCCAAGTACTGCACACTCGACCGTGTCACTAGAGGTTTCTATTCCTACCACTCTTGTAGAGAGGATAAGAACCGAGGCACGCCGCGCACACATTATCAGTCAAAGCCAGCTGCGGAAAACTATCAGCCGAACATGCTCCGGATTAAGAACGCTCTGTATGCCTGACCCCATGTACGCTTACCCTCATGTATAGATACAACTCTTGAGATTAAAGCGACTTCAAGCAACATAGAGGCTAGTTGGCCAATCAAGGTAATCATAATATATCCTAAGGCTCGTCAATATCGTTGGAAGAAGAATTTCTGACGTTGGGCGAGAGGTGGATACAGATGCGATAAAGGGACTCATAGAATTCTAGAAAGATCTATTGATACGTATATATAGTATTAGGGGTTAAACATGCTTGAACTTTCAGAATCAAGAAAACAATCAAGTTGCATCTTCAACTACATACACTGACAAACATTCGGGTTCAATGGTATCGATCTTACCCTATGTATAAACGACTTTGAGTCAGATCTAGAGAGAAAGGAAACAAACATGATATTTACAAGAGTCCTTGTCTATGATCTGAACCGTACCAAGGAAGTCTAACACTTCAGTCTACGTTCGAGAACATATAGAGAAAAGTAAAGAAGGTAATGATAGGACGCAAGAAAGACCGTAGCGCAACAGATAAAAGGAGAAAATACTGAGGGTGGGCGGTGCGAAAGGCAACTGGATTCTTATCCAAGATACCTCATTCACCTACACATGTACCCCAGCTTACCCATATTGCTCAAGCAGCTTAATCTTCTTCTTCGCTCTCCTCACCCTCCTCTTCCTCTTCGTCATCGTCATCGTGCAAGCCTCCAGTCCTCTTCACCTCACTTGCCCCATCGATCAATTCGCGATATTCCTCATAGCTCACTGTCGCCTTAGTACCTTTATACCTAACTACGTTCAACTTGACTTTCTCCCACTCCTCCTTTCTACCAGTCCACCCTGCTTTTCTCATCAAGCTCGCTACAGTCTCTTCCTTTGTCCACCCTTGTTCAACAGGCACATCGGGTAAATAAGTAGCCCCCATCTTCCTCCCATGATAAACAAAACTTATCCTCAACCCGTGTGTCCCGAGTGTCCAGTCCATACTTGAGGAGGCAGCCTCGAAATCTGTGAGTAGTGTCACGCCACACTCAAGCGACGGAAGCTCTTTGAGCGAAACTGGAGAGAAACGTGTGTCATCAAGCGCTCTATAGGCCGGTGGCGTTAGTACTATACAATCTATGACTACCCAAAGAATCTATATCACCTACGCAGTAAGAGCATAGCTTTTGAGTCCGTACTCAAGAGGTTGAGCCTCAAATGTACCAATACAACCCCGGAGATTCTTGCTCCCAGATCTAGAGATCTTGTTCCAAGTCACGAACAGTGGCCTGTCGGGGTGTGGTGTAGCAGCCACTCCGTTTGTGTGTGTGCCGTTTGCTGTCCCATTAGAACTCACGCCGTTGGTACTGGAACTCCGCTGTTTATATAGAGCCTCGATTTGAGCAAGAGTGAGCGACTTGCGGTTCTCGAGGTGGGACGCGAGCGTTTCGAAGCAGAAGTGGCATTGGGGAACGGCGGCCATGGTTACGAGGGGTTTGCAAAGGAATGAGGATGGGAGACTGGGATAAGTGGGGTTTATCGGTTATTAATGACTTGTGGAAGCTTACATAGGTGTCGGCATAGGTCGGCAGGACCAGGCCAGGTATTCAATCAAACCGCCTCGTGCCTGCGCAGGAGGATCTGGATCTGCATGCATCTGAAATCACAGTGACCAGGAGAGACAACCCCGCTATTCATGGCTGAAATTCTGCCAATAGCTATCATGTGAATACCTACATACAGATCTAGGGAGGGGGGTATCGATAAGGAGGTCATCGCTCAGTCCGAACTGTGCTATTTTATTGAGTTTGCAGTTGGTGTGAAGCTCCAGCTGTTGCGAAGGTCCAGATGCACCATAATCCTTGTCTATGATACGTCATTAGTGATTGGATCACCGTCTTTCACTCGCTCCATTATAATTAGCGCACGCTAATTATAATAGTTTAGCAGCTCGACTGCATACGTTTACTTACATGTAGTACTGAATTGTCAAATTCCGAGATACGAGTGAATAAGGGATCCGGTACGCGAATTGTGGTATATCAAGCCGTACTGTAGTATTGTTCATGTCTCTAGATAACACCTCGTAGGAGGCATGATAATACACCAAGAATGCGACCATAAATACGGGGACACAACTACGTACTTACATGCCAAATACCTATTTGAGTTATAGGTGCGACCGGCGAGGATTTGGTATATTTCTTTGGTGCTAATGATTCCTGAAGCCCCGTTCATACTCAGTACCAGTGCGCGTAGCCAAGAAATACATGCACTCAAAGCTACATAAGTTCTTGGGGTACTGTGATCGTATAAACTTTTCAAGTCAGAATGCTATGATGTAGTGGTAACTAGAATATTTGCTAAATTATGAAGGTAAATAACTAAGATGTATAATAATGGGGGGGAAGTCCTTGAGCTTACATGTAGTAGGTACAATATTATCTAATATCTAACATGTACCGTTTTTTGAACTTTCTCGACAGCTGATTGGTCGAGAGCAAGGAACCCTAACCCACATAGCAACCAGCCTACCCCACCAAAATCTATCTACACCGCAACAAAAGGTCCCATAAATTGAATTAACCAAGGATAGCAGAATGTACATGGAGAGGGGGGGGGGGGGGCCGAAGGCCCATAAGTGTAGAGGGAGAGGGAAAGAGGTGGGGTGGGCCGAAATCGGGAAGGAAAGCTGAAAGTTAAGCAGAGAAGATGGCAAAGAAGCTGGCAAAGGAGCCGGCAGAGGAGCTGGCAGAGGAGCTGGGAGGAGAGCTGGAACCAACTGGGGATATCAAAAGTAACAACTCGCGGTCGCGAGGTGGATGGACCCCCTAGTGTTTATGAGTGATAAACGGTGATGCCACGACGCAAAGCTCAGCCAGTGGTTGTAGTTCAACTCTTGAAATACATTAAATGAATTATAAACGTTATGAAACCTAGAGATTTAATTTACTAAAAGTAAAAGAAAAATTATTTTTAAGCCTCTTACGAGGATAGCAAAATTCATGCTCTCGAAGATCTGTGGTTTTAGGGCTAGCCCTAAAACTTAGCGGCTAGGGAATTCTGCCCCTCCATGCATCTCCACCACCACGACCGCCGAACCTCAGAAAACATCAACCCCCGAAGCATTGCCCATCATGACCACTGATGCCACATCCCGCCCTCAGCACATTGAGGAGATTCTCTCTGGTCTCGACCGCTACAATCCGGAGACCGTGAGTACGTTCCAGGACTATGTTCAAAGCCAATGCGAGAACAGGACATACGACAACATGGCCAACTTGGCCTTGTTGAAGCTGTGAGTGTGAATATTTCATTTCTAAACTGATATTTCATTTTTGCACCTCTCGTGCGTTTCTGGTGGGATTACTATGATGAACATTATATAAACGTTTCCTATTACCTGAAGGGCGGAATGAACCCCTCCCATATTGAAGCGAATTTGGTTTTCTCTGAACTTCCACCAAAAACTCTATTTCCTCAATATAAATTTTCTACCTGCACCTTCAAGAATCACTACGCTAACTAAAATCCCACGATCCTCCCGTATTGCAGCTACCAGTTTAACCCTCATCTCACTCGTGACGAGACCATAACCAACATCCTCGTCAAGGCCCTCACCGTCTTCCCCTCCCCCGATTTCTCGCTCTGCCTACATCTTCTCCCACCCAACAGTCTCATTGAGCCCCCAATCGATTCATTCGCGGAGGCTGTACAGAAGTTGCACACCTTGTCAAACGCACTTGAGGAGGCCGATTACCCTCACTTCTGGGCAACCCTCGACAGCGATGATCTCTATGCCGATCTGGTCGCTGACTGCTCTGGTTTCGAAGAGCTTGTGAGGTTACGTATTGCTATGGCAGTTGCACAGGCCTTCAGAGAGATCAGCAGGGATACCTTGGAGAGTTACCTCAACGCGACAGGCGAGTTTTTTGACGGTTTTGTTAAGAACATTTGCCAGTGGACATTGGATGGTGACAAGGTCAAGATTCCTTTAAACAAGGAGAACGAGGCCATTACCACAGTAACAAGGGAGGTGGTCAAGATCGAACGTATGTTAAAGAGTCTAAAAAATTCCTACGCTTGCTGTATGGCTGCTGACGTCGTTACTTTTGACCGTCCAGAGTTTAGCAGAGTCTTTAAACGCGCGTACGAGCAGCCTTGCTGAAGTAGATTCGACGACTTTTCTATATTTCAAAAAGTTCTATGAAATTCTGCATGAACATAAACAAAAATGGGTCTGGGATCTGTGGGAGTTCGTGGAGTCACCTGGGGCGGAGGAAAACATTATAACTAATAGGAATCGAGCCGTAATTGGCCGGGAAATTTCTCCCTGTAGACTTTTTTTCCTTCGTTCTGGTGGCCGGTGGGATTCTGCTTTTTTATTTTTTTTCTTTCCTCTTTCTAAATGATCATTGTTCTGTTACCGATATCAGAGGTCTTCGCTGGCTTCAAAGCGTCTACAGTAAGAAAAAAAGAAACGGCCGATAAGTGCTTTCGCAAATGGAGAGAAATGATCGGCCTGAGTACTTCATAACTTCAGCTCCTTCAGGAAGTTAGCTTCTCCTATCAACGAACTTCCACCTTCTACTACGTTCTGTTCTTGAACAAGAGAAAGAAAAAGGCCTATCAAAATGTCTTAATTTCTAAAGGAGCGGAAAGATCCTACGCGTGCGGCCACAGGGACTGAGTCTGAGCCTGCCAGTAAAATGTCTTAGGTCAGAACCTCTTTTAAAGGGAATGTAGAAGGTTATATAATATTACTTTGGCATATTTCTGTATGGTGCAATTGGCCTTAAAAACCAGTTTTGTCATCTGAGGGGCTGAAGAAGTAGTTCGAGTTTAACTACAAGTATGGTCCAGCTAACGCTAAAGATTAACTTTTGAGTAAAGTATGTATACATGTAATGAGTTACATAGTTATGATGTGAGTGGGAAATATCCAGAGGCTTTTTATACCTAATTTAACTATTCTCATGACGTATGCGGTTTATCTATGCCCTCTCATTCATAACCTTGGCGGGTGAATATGTTGTTTTCTTGATCATTGACCACCGGCTCGAGCCATATCATGAGCCCGAAATAAAGTCTCACGCTCTACGAGCCTCGACTCTTAGATAGCCGAGCTAGCGCGAGCTTGATTTCAGGCTTTTGGAGTCAAAATCCAAAGTGTATAAGGAATCAGTCACACCCTAGTCAGGAAGAAAGAGGATTTAGGTCGCGCGTTATTCGGATTTTGAATTGTTAATTATTATGGAGGATCGATTAGTGTCGATGTCATTTAGTCACCTCCGCAAGTTCCGTAAAGTATAAGAAATCCCAGGGCACCACTCACTAGTGGAAGCATATCACGACAATAAGAAACAAGGCCGGTGATATGAGATGGATAAGATAGAGCGAATAATGCGTTTCAACTTAGCCATTTCCACACATACCTCTCGCCCTGGGTATATAAATATTATCCTACTTTCACCAGATTTAACCCATAGACTTATAAGCTTCCTGTTCTCGATCTATCCGGGCTCCCATCCTCACTGTCCCCCTGTCCATCAAATCCTAACAGTCCCAGTCCAACACCGAATACATCGTTACTCCACCCTACAAAGGTCTCCGCATCCCAGATAACTCCACCACTTGAAGGTCTTCGATTGCCGCTTAAGAAAGTGCTCTCGTAATAGCTCTCATATGCTTGTATGACCAGTTCCTATACCCAGTTAGTCACGTCTTTTACAAATACCAAGAGTGAGATCAATACCTGTACAGCGCCAACCAATGTTTCCCGAGTCCTTCCGTCTTCTATATACTCAACCAACTTTGCTCTCAACACCACTACCTCTCTTTCCACGGCAGCCCTAACTTCAGCCGCTGGATCAGCCCCCGCTGCTGCACGGATCCTGTTCGATGGGCCGTCAATCCCATTTGTCATGCGGTCCGCGAAGTGTTTAGTGAACTCTCCAATAACTGTCCGCAGCCTCGCGTCGAGCTCAACTTTGGCGTCTAACATGTTTTCGACCACTTTCGGCATTGCAGCACCCTTGACCAAGTTCAAGATACCAGTGCGTGAGAATATACCCTTCTCGCGCAGTTCCCAGAAGGAGCCCGCGAGTCCGGAGAAATCGATTTGAGTATCTGGTTTTACAAATTCTATGTCAAAAGTGACAATCTGTTCTTTCAAGAGTAGAAAATGGCGTATCAGAAATAAGTGCCCATCTGCAGGGGTCTTCTTCTGTGTTAGTTGTTGTGAAGCTCGGAGGAGCGAGATGGTTGTGAGGTGAACTATTGTATGCGCTAGATCATCGAATACGGTTGAATTGACGAGTCGATAGATCCGAGAGAGTAGCCAAATGCACTTGCGTAGTGTAGGGTACCAGCCTTTATACGCTGCTTCTGTATCGAACCCCCCATTACCGTTCGTACCAGCAGGGTCATCATGGCGGTCTATTATCTTTTGTGCGTTCGGACTCGCGGTCCCCTCTCTAGAGGGTGATTGAAACTTCGCGGGATAGTCTAGGTCTTCAGGTTTAGGTGTGAATCCTTCAATTTCATCGCGTATTATTGTCTGTGCACGGAAGACAATGCGAGATTGGGTATCGTGGAGAGTGGGCTGAATTATTTGGCCGAAGTCAAGCTGCGTACGATCGTAAGGCTCTGTATCTAGATCATCAATGTCTCGCATATAGCGAGTTTGGATTAATGTACAAAGTTCGCAGAGCTTTACTAGCTGCGTTTCGTGGATTATACGGGGTCGAAGATGATCATAGAGGGGTTCGCACAAAGATTCCAAGAAAGTACTATTATTAGGCCTATTAGCACCAGCCAGGCTTGAATGGGGTATATATAAACTTACTAGACCTCGCTGTCTCCTTGCTCTCCGGAGAAATATGCGTAGAATAGCTCAAATTCATCCATGCAGATACTCCTCACGAAACTGATCCCACTCCTTGCGAATGGTACCAGCTCCTTATTCTTTGTATTAGTTGGTGCTGACAGCTCAGTCATACGCTTGTAAATGATCGGTCCAATAAGCTTCTGTCGAACCGAAGCAAAGGAATGATAGCACTCGTTTAGTAATGACAAATACCTACATTTTTCTTAGATTTTAATTGACACCAAGATAAACCTTTAGAGAAGAAAATACATACTCCTCATGATCACACCTCTTCTCAATCTCACCCACCAACTCCCGCAGAAGAGGTGCATTGACCCTGAACTTTGCATATAACAGCGCACTTTGGGTTGTATCGTTCATCTGCCTTTCCTTGATTCTTCCTGTCACCTCATTTGAAACCTCACGTATACTACTCACGAAATAGTTTCGTATTAATGTGAGTGCACGAGTCATACATTGTCTAAACTTTGGCGCATAAGTCTCGACATCGTGAAAACCTTTATGAGCAGGATCGTCCATCCATGCAATACAATCATCCAATCGAACCAGCATCTCCCTAAACGCCGGGGTCTTCACAAAATCGCTTCCTGGGCGGGCAAGAAGACGAGTAATAGGTTCTAGCTCCGTGAAGGGATGTAATGCGGTTGATATAGAAGAAAGGAGCTTTTCTAAGTGAAATTGATGGGAAAGCAGGCTGGAACATGTTTCTTGAAAAGTGGAGGTTTGGGCGTGAACGGTGCGGAAAGAGGATTGGAGGGTATTCAAGAGAGAGAGAGTTGTATCTGTTGTAGATATGAGCGAGTTGCAGGTTGTGAGGTGCGACTGGAGGGTAGAGTGAAATAGTCTACGGGCTATTAACGGGTCGCCTTGTGGAATTGGGGGCTAGTAGGGGTAGTTACTGGTATTCACTATTGGAGCCTTGAAGGTCATCTTCAAATTGTTTATACCAATCTGCAAAGTCCAATTCATCCTTGATTTCTCGTGTTATAATTGAGCCCTTGTATGTCCCATTTGAAGCCTTATGTCCATATCTTGCGATCCTAGCACCCTCGAGATCATTCCGTGACTTTGGTCTTGGAGGAAGTTCCCGAACATCATGATTTACATCCCCCTTGATACCCGGTAATACAAATTTATCTTGCACTAGCACCCTAAGATCTCCATAGGATTTGGGTCTCCGCGGAATAGTGGCTATTGGGATTTCCGGGGCTGGATTTTTTTGTTGCTGCTCGGTAGACTTCTTTAAGAGATTCGAAGAAGTTCTTTCCTACAGAATACGCCAATCAGCCCAAAGAACCTTAATTCCTATAATTCACATACCAAAGATGGTCGAGCAGGGGATTGTTTCTTTATTGGTTCCTGCCGGCGCATTTTTGGAGCCTCAGGGACTGCCGGAGCTGAGTGCTGGTACCAATGATCCTCGAACATGGCTGTATTTGTAATGGAGAATTGTTCTAAAGCTTTCACAGGTGTTAGTTTGAAATATATTTGAGTTCGGTCAGCTATGAGTGGAGCTGTTTGAGCAGTTCTTTGGCGGGGTACTTTTTTGTGGAGTTCACGCGATGTGGTTTGAACTACTCGTGGTGCCGACAAGTGCTCGGATCATGTGACTGAGTTAAGCGGTGTAACCAAATCAGGCAGTAATTGTCGTGAGCTAAGGTAAATGCCAAGAACCAGCCTCAAGACGGCACCCAAGCCACTTGCAGAAAGCGCGAGTGATAGACTGTGATAAAGACAAGAACATCCTGTCCGTCGGAATGGAGGGGCCTCGTACTGCACCGTGTTTCCTCTCGAGCCGTATCGAATTTTTTTCTTTCTCGGAAACGATGTGAGGCTCCGCTTCGTTTCCTGGTAGTAAGTGGGTACATGTAGGGTTAGGGTTAGCATTTGTGTAACCGAATACTGATGTCATCCACGATTCACGAGAAAAAATCAAAAACTCCTAATCGAGTGCAGCACAAAGAAACTCATTCGTACATACGGGAATAAATTGACTCAGGTATCCCCTTTAAATTCTCTAGCTAGCCAGCAGCTGGACAACAACATCCTGACTGTCCATCTAGTAAACAATGTTCAAACAAACGACTTCAAGTCTCTGTTCGTTTTCGCGCGCTATTCCGGGGCGTATCTTGAGCACTAGGACCACACTCTGCAGAAATATCTCTACGGCGCGGACTGCGAAGCCTGTCATTTGGAAGGGTCCTCGTGCTCTCATTGCTACGGCGATTGTCGGCGGTTTTGTGGCCTACAAGCTGTCGACCGAACCGGTGATTAGGGCAGAGGGAATAGCTGTTGTTTCGCCAGCTGCAGCCGACCTGAAATCAAAGCTGAGCGCCCAGCATGTCCAGGTATGGAATACCACCAAAATGATTATCGTAACAATGTTGTTAAGATAATGTTGCCTTAAAGGTGAAAAATAGTTGGGAGCACCCAGGGGTGTATGCTTGGGGAAATAATGTGTATGTGTTCCCTATCCAGCCATCCAAGAGCATTTCTCATTTTCAAAAGTGGACGAGTAGTAGCTCCAGACTCGAATGAAGATCTCATCAAATCTCCTCGCCGTATTTCCGCATTCGACAATGTCCTTCTCCGTGACCTTAAGCTTGACCGCAACATCGGGGGTAAGGTAAACCCTTTCCGCCGCTGAATATCATCAGTCTCTTCTTCCTTCATATCATCGAATGTTATCAGTGTTTTCTCCTCCGTACAACTAACACCACTCTCTAGTCGCCGTAAACGAAAAGGGAGACATCCTTCAATGGGGAACTGGATATGCGCCGGATATCAAAGAGCCGGAGAAAACACTTACGGGAAAGGACATTGCCTCTGTTGAGATCTCGGGAGATAGGGTTTTTGGGCTTTCCAAAGATGGCAAAATCTACAGTTTGCCCATGTCAAAGAAAGATCAAACCGAATCTACGAAACTCTCCGAGTCGTCATGGATCCCCGGAGTATCTTCTGAATCTAAGATCTCATACCGGCTGCTCAAGCCCGAGCTAAGCTATTTCGAAAGGTTCTCTCAAACAATTCTTTTTAACTGAGTTCTAATTGAATTAATAATATTCCAGTATCTCTAAGATCACTTCAGGGCGAGACCACATTCTCATTCTCACCTCTTCCGGCCGTGTATTCTCTGCTGCTGCATCCTATCACTACCCCTCGAAAGGTGAACTTGGAATTCCCGGTCTCACTTTTGCTACCCGACCCAGGGACAAACCCTACGATACCTGTCATGAGATCACGCACCTCTCGGACTACAAAATTACCCAGATCGCCGCTGGAGACCACCACTCACTAGTTCTCGATGACGCAGGGCGGGTATTTTCATTTGGCGACAACACCAACGGCCAACTTGGGTTCCAGTATAACCCTGAGACGAACCACATTGAAGTACCAACACTACTCACGTTTCAGGGAATGTACGATACCAAGCAGATTTTGCCAAAAGTAAAGAGAATCGAAGCAGGAGGTGCAAACAGCTATTTCTGCGTTGATGCAGAGAACATTGTAAATGGGAAAGTGAGTGCGGACTTGTTTAGTTGTGGAACCGGTATCTTTGGAAATCTGGGCAATGGGAGGTGGACCCACGTTCAAGGAACGCCAACAAAAGTGAAGGCGTTGAGTGGGTTGTTTGAATGTAAGTTCCGCCGGGCGCAATTAGCCATATCGAGTGGTCATTAACAAGAATATATAGACAACGACAAGGCCAACAGTATAGTTCCCATCCGCCTGTCTTCCCTCTCCGTGGGTGCAACTCACATCTCGGCAACTATGCAAAATCTCACCAATGTCGAAGCCTCAACCTCTGCTACATCTCCCGCCCATGACGTCAACTTTGGTTCTGACGTTCTCTGGTGGGGCAACAACGAGTTCTACCAACTAGGCACTGGGAAAAGGAACAACACCAGCGTTCCTGTTTATATCCCCCCTCTCGAACCTATGGTTGCCGAAATGACGATTGACGAATCCTCCATGACCGGTAGTAGTAGCACGGGTGACCTGACCCGCAAGAGTGGAATTATTGGTGGGAAGGGGGATGAGGTTGGAAGTGCAAGATTTACAAGGAAAGACCAGGTTCACAGGTTCCAGGCAACACCGAAAAAGAAGGTCAACGTAAATGGGAGAAATGTCGAGATAGAGCAAAGAGTGGCCTGTGGAAGAGGTAACTCAGCGGTTTATTCGGCGGTTTAGTGAAAACTCAAAGTAAAGGGCTGTATTATAATGGTGGCATGGTGCTGCGAAATTTGTATATTTAAGTGAAACACTCTGCTTGTTATTTTTCAACTCGTTATTTCACAAGTTAATCATGAAATATCACTCGATCTGTTCGTACCTCAAGCATACCGCGCCGAGCACCCTCGTGTAAACAGGGACACCTTCCGCCTACGCAAAATCTTGATCCAATGATACCTGCCTACCTAGGAATATATATAGATAATAACTTTCCGCATGGGGCCTTGTTTGGGGCTGGTCAATGTACCCCTGGCGGTAAGCAATTCCCTGGTCTTGTCACGGGGCTGAAACACAACTTGAATCTGGAGTGCTTGGACACTTTTTATTTTCGCTACCAATGCTTTGGAATGTATCATGAATCCAAATAAACCTGGCTGCAGGCTCCCCACTGACTTGGATAATCCCTCAACGCAACAAACGAAAACCCCCCTTCGCTAGCGTACCAACAAACTCAAAAGAAGAAGAAAAAGCTTAGCACTTTCAAAGCACTACATGACCCAACCACAAGTTCATCGACCTCAGTTAAACACCATCCACTTCAGCCTCCCCCTAAACACCAGTATACAAAAGAAAAGAAAACGAGCGGGGGCGTTACACCCTGGGTATAATAAAAATAAAAATAAAAACCTCTCCAGTCAATCCGATCAGGGCCCTTCCTCTAAAGAACGAGTACTCATGCGCGTAGATCTAAGAAGGAAACTGTAGAAAACGAAAGCGCACAAAAAACATAACCAATACACTAAAAGCTATCCGCGGCCCATCGGGGGTTGGTCCTACCGAGAGGGGCTTAAGAAGAAAAGAAGAAGAAGATCAAAGAAACAGATCCGTCTATTAGAAGACGACGGAAATGCAAAGGAAGAAGAATAAAAAAGAGCAAAGCACAGTACTATTCGTGTTCGTAAGCTGGGGTTGTTGATCACCCTAGCCTTTGAGAACGAACAAACTACAACTTCCCAGTAGCAGTTTTGGCACCGTCGAGACGGACGATACCGCCAGCTCCATCGGTCTTTGAAGGAACACCGTCGTCACCGTAGTTGTTGGCTAGAAGATATGACGTTAGAACAATTACTTGGGGTTCACGTTCCATGCGTGGATTTGTGACTTACTTCCAACAGCAGTGATTTGTGCGATAGGTGCAGCGATAGCTGAGGCCGTGAAGAGGAGGGCAATTAGGGTAAGGTACTGCATTTTGATCTTAATTTGATAGAGTCTTCTGATCTTGAAGAGTGTGTATGGTTGTGTAAATGACGGATTGGCGGAGAGGAAGCGATTAATTGGCAAGCAATAAACAGAAAAGAGGGTTTGGTCGAACCGGTCGACGAGCTGGTTGATTACAAGAGGAAAAAAGAAGATGTAATTAAGTGAATGGCACTGTGGTGGGTGGAGAAGAAAAGAGAGAAACAAACACCGGGACAACGAAGGTATAAATACACCAAGATATTCCAGAACTAACTAAGGGGAATCAAGAAAAAAAAATCCAAGCTTTGCAGCACGGATCTTCTGATACAGCGGGCGTAACGAATGGCGGTTTCGATATTTGCCCTTGCATCCCCACCTCCATCTCCATCTCGTTATGCGGGGCGGATATTAGATGCGGGAGGTGCCAAATCTTTTTTACCAATCGAGAATCGGAATCCCTATGATTGACGTTTCGTAACCAGGATCTAAGTTGACACCTGCAGCGCGCCAAACAGCCCAAACAGGATGGTAAGCGATATCATTGGTTGTCAGGGGCAGCCCGTACCACGCGCCGAAACGGTTTGAGGCATCAACCAACAATTAATAGACCCCACATGCCAGAACCGCTCGTGAAAATCCCCAGGAGAGTTGTTTGTCTCTGTAACGTGTGGCTGGTTGCGTAAGCAGACTGCTACACTTGTCCCCTTTTTCCTGCATCATGGCGATCGCACTTCAGTTACAGAACAATCAGATCCAGGTAACAACATGTCAAATACCAAGCGAGGGCTTTATTTTAGAGTTTCGAGGAAATTCCTGGGAATTTTTGGCAGGCTCGATCAGGGGAATAAGTACATGGTGCGTTCTAAGCAGAGAGGCCCGGCCGGTCGTACGTCAGCCTATAGAAAAAAAACGAGGTTTGTCCTATAGCAAATAGATTTTACACGTGAGTCTCCAGTTATCTCTGCGTGGGTCTTATCTTAGGAAATTTTAGTTTTCAACAATAGGAAATAAAAAAAAATCGCTCGTTGACTCTGTCTCATCACTTAACCTGGTCAGGGCCGGCCACCTCCCTTACTTTGCAAATGCTGATCATGACTGCGCAACGCTTTGACCTGGTCTCTTTTCTCTGAACAGTGATACGTGAATCCTATTCATTAGTTGGCTAAAAATTGCTGAATGTAATGAAATCCATTCATAATTAGTGAATTCAAAGTGCGATTACCGCCAGCCATCGTGATTTATACAAGCATCTGTAGTTGGTGCGAGCGACGGTGGATTTCAGAGGGATTTCCAGCTAGAATTGAGGTGGTAAAAAGCCAACAAATCTTTACACGTATATGCGGGCTTATACCACAAAGTACTCCCACATTCTGTCTTGAGGGTTTTAGGGCCTTGTCTGGGTGCCTTGGCTTACGGGAAGGAAACCGTGTCGATCTCCCATCTATATAAATCTGATACATGCGCGGTGTGTGCTAGGAGTACATGTACACATACATACCTTCACCCATAAAATTCCACTGGGATCTTTAGGCTGATTTACATGACACCTAGTCCGATCATAAAATGTCACTCGTAAGAGTCACCCACTCCATGTGGTCTTTAAGTGTGTCCTACGCGCTTGAGAGGGAGCAGAGTGGAGACTTACAGAGTACATGCAATGTGCACCGCCAAGCCGTTCGAGATAAGCTATGAGGATAGCTTCGTCCACCTTTCTTCTTAACCGGTCTCGAGGCCGGCATGGGAGATTATCCCCTCAGGCGAAGCTATGGTGCAAGAGGGAGTAGAGGGCGAATTTGTCAACCCTGTACACACCAGTTCAGTCAATTCTTTCATTGGCTCCAGGAAGCAAACATTGGAGAGCCTCACCTTTAACTCGACTTTATGGCTGTAAGGGCTATAATACTGAACTGGTGTGAACAGGGATTACAAGGTCGCCCCCCAAGGCCTCTCGCACCATAGCTAAAGACCTCCAGATACTTCGGACTCTTATAAACCCTTTCCTTCATCCAGCCATAAGGCCAAGGTTCTTCGTCTTCCGGCACGATCTCCTCTTCCAGCGCACCCCCCACTCGCAACGAGCGACTCCTACCAGGAATTCTAACGCATACGAACCACTCATATCACAGTGCCCCGCTGACAACCGCCTTTCACTGGTCCTGACGGCTCACAGTAACTTGCATTCTGCACCACCTACAGCATTAGCCTTTCTCCACCGCGATGGATCATTCGACGGTTGATTAGCTACCCAACTCCAACTACGAGCCAGGAGCTGAAGCGTCTGGAATATCGGTACGAGATCGTTTCTAATCAGCCCTCATCCTCAGGATCACTGCACCAAACAACACCAGCGAAAGAACAACCCGGCGGTCTCCCAGAAAGACCCAGTAGTTATAGTATCTACATGCCGTGAGTACATGCCGCTACAGGAGAGACTCCTCAGCTAGCGATAGCTGATACTTCTCCGCAGTGCTATTCCCCACAGGTGGTGCTCGACCGGCTGATGTATTGTACCATGCATCTAGTGCTATACAGTGGTTATCTAACTTACCGGGGTGATGAAGAAGGGGTTTCGGTGGGATGGTTTTCATGTCCGTCGCTGGCGGGGTTATGAGTTGGCGTCGTTGGCTCTATTCATTGTGGGTCGCGAAGGCCGAGGTTCATGAGTTTAGTGTGAATCACAGCCTCTCACTCGTTCTTGGCAACACCAATTGCCACCCTTAGTCCAAGTTCAGAAAAGGTCACAACCAACAAACGAGGAACACCACAAAGCCACTCTTCCACAGCCAATTTACATGTTCAGCTCAAACTCAATCATATCAACCCGCAAGATTCATAGTCCTTAGCTAAGTACTTGGGGTGAACTGATACTTCTCGCATCGATATCTAATAATTATAATTGATAACGCAAGCTAGTCTAGCTACAAGTGTAAAATCCCACTCCCAGATCCCTTCCCAAATCCCAAACCCAAATCCATATACTCCACGCAAACATAGGCCTATAAAAATAGTGCCCGTCCCAGCGTATGAAAATGCAAAACACAAAGAAAGAAGAAAAGCCATGACTCAGACAGTAGCAAGCTAGCAGGTCTGAGAGTGCCAGACACAAGATACAAGATATCGTCCATCCATCCATCCATCCAATCAAAAGAAAAAGATAAGAAAAGATAGGAAGAAAACATAGTAGTAGTAGTCGGCAAAGCAGCTGGATATATATAGCACACAAGAACACTGCAGGTAGATAACCCTCGCCCAAAAGAAAAAAGCGCCAATCCAATCCGACCAAATTTAAGACAGAAAAAAGACCTCGGTAAAGAGTATATATATGCATCCTCATCTATATACCTCTCACCGTCTCGACCTAATCGGTCAACCAATCAATCACACCGCCCCCCCCCCTCCCCCTTTCCTCCTCCCTTCCTCTTCCTCCCATCCTCTACTTCGCCGCCCACCAATCCTCCACATCGCCCACCATCCCGCCATTCGCCACAAACTCATCCCCGGGCCTAAACAAGATCGCCGGCGCATCCCACGACAAATAGCCCGGCTCCAACACCAGCTCGCTCCCCCGATCCACCACCGCCGGCGGCGTCAGCTGCGGCACATCCGGCGCCCTAATCTCGAACGCCGGGAAGTCCGGGTCCGCTATTCCCGCCGCCTCCAGGAAGACCGCGTCGCAGCTCCACTCCTCCTCGGGGATGCTGAGCAGCTCCTCGGTGGTGATGTCGCCGCCGAGGTACTGCATCAGGTCGGGCAGTGACTGCGAGGCAAAGTCGATCGGGGTGCTTGTGGGGTTGTATTGGAAGGGTGCGGGCGTTGGCGGCGGGGCGGAGGGGGAGATTGTTGTTTCGCTGGAGGCGGAGGCGGTGGGGTATAGTAGCGGTGGTGTCGCCGCGGGGGTGAGAGACACGCTGTTTGACTGCGGGCTGGCGGTGGGTTGGGTGGCAGTGATAGTATCCGTAGCCATTAGACCTTGGTATACGCTATTGTAGTCCGAAAAGTCTGCCGAACTATTTCCCGCGGGGGTCGGTGCAGGAGCGGTTCCAATATACTCAGATCCAAATTGAGACCCAGGAGACAGAGACACAGCGGCCATGTTCCCACCAGAACTAGATCCAGAACGGGACCTAGAAACTACGGGGGCCGTGTTCCCACTAGAACCAGATAGAGACCTAGACCTGGAAGCTACGGAGGCCATCGGATTCTCTATGTTCTGAGCGGCACCGTTCCCGCCAGCTCCAGCGATTTCTCCCCCGTTCCCGAAACATTGACCAGCAGAGTCCGTTGCTCTCTGCTTCCCATTTCCCCCATGCTCGACCTGGCCAGGAACCGCACTTTGAGCCAATGATTCCTGCAAACCAACATTTGGAGTTCCAGGAGCAGCATGTGCCAACCCATTCGACCTGATCACTCCCTGTTGGCTAGTTCTAGCTATACTAGTCTTGCCATCTCCCGGTCCGACACCGTTATTGTAGGTCACAGCACCCTGCTGCTGCTTCATCTGCCACTGATAATTCTGCACCGCCTGCTTCTGCACCATCGCCGGTCCTACATTCTGCTCGCCGACTCTCCCCTTCTTAGTCTGCGGGCCCCCCGCAGCTTCCAGCATCCTCCTCTTCTTGGCCGCATGCACCTCCAGCAGCTTGCTGTTGATGGCAGCCTGCTTGTCCTTCTGCGACATGCCCGGGTCGAACCCGAACATGCCGCGGTCCCGGGCGGCTTGTAAATCGACCGGTTGCTGCTGCTGTACCTGGCGCTGCTGTGGCTGCTGGCGTTGAGGCGGCTGCTGCTGCTGTACCTTCCGCTGCTGCTGCATCTGCTGCTGCTGTATCTGCTGCTGCTGTATCTGCTGCTGCTGTACCTGGCGCTGCTGTATCTGCTGTTGCTGCTGCTGTACCTGCTGCTGTACCTGCTGCTGCATCAATATCTGCTGCTGCTGCTGCTGTATCTGCAGCATCTGCTGCTGCTGCACCTGCTGCCTCCACTGCGCATACACCTGTCCCTGCAGCTCCTGCTCCAGCCTCTGCCTCTCCAGCTGGCTCTGCGGCGTCGCCGGGCCTCCCTGCGGCGGTATGTCCGGGCTGTACTTATTCAAGCTGCGAAAGTCCCCCAAGTCTCCCTGGGCCGCCACGTACTCGGCGAGCGCGGGGTTGGCATACTGCGGCTGTGGGACGGCGGCGGCCTGGTCGTTGACGTTGCCGTTGCCGTTGGACTTGAGCACGTGGCGGGGGGTTTGGAGGCCGGCGGGGGCGGGGTGGTATTTTTTGAAGCTGCTCAGGTCTGTGTTCTGGAGCTGGCCGGTGGTCGCGGGGATGGGGATGGGGGCGCCGTAGTTGTATGTGCCTTGGTTCTGGAAGCTGCTGTACCCGTTGTTCTGGATCATGGGTGGCTTTCGGTTGAGCTGCTGGTATTGTCCAGGAGGGCCCGCAGCGGTATGGCGGATCTGGTTCATAGAGTAGGCATTCACCGGTACGTTGTTCTGACCATTGCCATACAGCTGAGCGGCAGCGGCAGCTGCAGCACCCCCAGGACCCGACGAAGCCGAAGCCGAAGCCGAAGGCTGGTAGAAGCCTTTGAAGCCCCCATTCAGATTCGGGTTTTGGTTTGGGTTCATCCCGTTTGACTGCATACGCCCATTCACCTGGCCGTGCATCTGCATCTGCATCTGCATCTGCGTATTTACATTATGCTGCAGGAGGCTGTTGCTGCCCCCAAGGGAAGGTGTGGTGCTCAACGGGTGCTGGTCGTGGTATATATTGACCAGCGACCTGCCACGGGTCCTGGCCTGCTTTCTGGGTGCTGGCCCTGGGCCCGGTGATGAGAAGCGCTCAGCGTTCGCCGGCAGCTGCTGCGTGAGCGAGGCTTCGATCTCCTGGCGGATGCTCCACTGGGGGTTGGGGTTGGCAGCGGGTGGTGAGCTCCAGGGTGCAGCGGTGCTGTTTTGGTTCTCGGCGTTTCCATTTGTGTATGGGAACTTGATGGGGGAGCTGCCATTGCCGTTTGTGTTTCCGTTTCTGTATGGGAGCTTGATGGGGGAGCTCATGCCGTTGCCATTGCCATTTGCATTTGCATTTGCACTTGCGTATTGTAGCGTAATGGGGGAGCTGCCATTTGTATTTGCATACGGCATCTTGACAGGCGAGCTGCCAAACATCGACGACGAGCCCGCCCCGTCCCCATTCTCCCGCTCCTCCTCCTCCTCCTCCTGCTCGTCCACATCATTCTTCCTCGCCCTCTTCTTGCGCTGCGCCGGCTTCCTCTTCGCGGCCGTCTTTTTCGGCGCGGGTGTTTTCGGGGGTGCCGTGGCCGCAGCACGCTCGCGCCAGCCTTCGTCGAGGTAGATCTGCGGCTTGGGCGGCGGGGTGTCAATGAGGGAGGCGGGCTTGGGGGGCGGCTCGTAGGTGCGTTGGGCTCGCGGGATGGGCGGGTGGGGCAGCGGGGTGGTGGAGCGGAAGGTGTGCTCGCGGCGGGTGACTTCATCGCCCCATTGCGAGGAGGGGGTGGGGGTGGGGGTGGAGGTGGAGGGGTGGTGAGGGTTGGTGCGTGGGTTGGGGGGTGGCTGAGACATTGCGGGAACAGCGGGAGGGAAAGTGAAAGAGAGATGGTGGTGGGGTGGGGCGGGAAAGAGTGGATGGGAAAGTGACAATTGTGGGTGTGGGGGGGGGGGGGGGAAGAGGGAAAGAGAAATGACGAATTTAGCGAGATCTTGCTTGACAGGCAGCAGGGCGGGATGTGCGTGTGTGCAGATAAAGCAGAAGCGAGAGTCTCGCTAACGCGGGGGGGAGACGGGGCAAACGGGGAGAGAATGAGTGGGCAGCGAATGTGGGTGGTGGAGTGAGAGTTAGCAGAAAGATGGAGAGAGAGGAAGAGGAGCAGAGGTTCGTCAGGAAATAGGAAATATAAACAAACGGAGGAGAGCAGCGGGGGCGACGAAGGGAAGCACGGCGAAACCCCACTGCAGTCTATTATTGTACTTGGGGAGCTAGAGAGAGAGAGAGAGAGGCGACAACCAGAGAGAGACGAGGGAAGAGCTAGAAGGAGGGCTGCTCTGCTCGCACGCTATGTATCTACCACCGCGCAAATACTAAAATTCAATGTCACACTGCCGTCCAGAGAAGACCGACAGCTGCTGCAAATATCTAGCCTTTCGCACTGAGCGAGCCGAAGCTACTGGCTGCCGACCTCTGGCCATCTCCATTCGGCACCTCTGCCATTAGCTATAGCGCCAGACGTACACTCCTCTCCCCAATTCCTGCTCCCCCCCACCACCAATAGGCTGCCCAAACACACAGCATTCACGCTCCTCGTCCCTCCCCGCCCGTCCCCAGGTTGTGGCCAAACGTCCATAGAATAGCAGCAAAACGCACAAATAGCTGTCGTGTGATCATTGCCCACCCGCTAGCAAGCGCGAGTGACGGCCCATGATTGCCCCACACAGCCACAGCGTTACTGGCAGGGAACACACCCCTTCCCTTCCCTTGCACGGCTTGTCGCACATTCCCGGCACCGCATTCGCTACTCGGCCCCGGCGCGCTGCGGCTTGGCGGTGCAGCGTGACCCGCCAGGGCTTGGCGGCAACCACCGGGCGTTGAGCAGAACGCGACAACGACAATCAAGACCCATCCCGCTCTCTCTCTCTCTCTCTCCCACCCCCTCACTCACCAGTCTCTAATACCTCCATCTCTCATACAAACACAACCACCACCACCACCACCACCACCACCACAGCAATGGTGACAATCAGCGAAGTCAAGACCGGCAGCCCCCGCGAGAACCGCACGGCCGCCCACACGCACATCAAGGGCCTAGGCCTGCGGCCCGACGGCACCGCCGAGAAGTCGTCCGCCGGCTTTGTAGGCCAGGAGTCCGCCCGCGAGGTCAGTCCTCACTGCTACTATCCCCCCTCCTTCCCTCCAGCTACTAACGCATTGGGAATGGACAGGCATGCGGAATCGTGGTCGACCTCATCAAGGCCAAAAAGATGTCTGGGCGCGCGGTGCTCCTCGCCGGCGGGCCCGGGACCGGCAAGACCGCGCTCGCGCTCGCAATCTCGCAGGAGCTGGGCACAAAGGTGCCGTTCCGCCCGATCGTGGGCAGCGAGATCTACTCGGCTGAAGTCAAGAAGACGGAGGCGCTGATGGAGAACTTTCGGCGGGCCATTGGTATCCCCCCCCCCCCTCATATAACAATCAATCAAGCAAGAAGGCAGTAATCTAACACCCACCACCCGCAGGCCTCCGCGTCAAAGAAACCAAAGAAGTCTACGAAGGCGAAGTAACCGACCTAACCCCCGAAGAAGCCGAAAACCCCCTCGGCGGCTACGGCAAGACCATCTCGCACGTCATCGTGGGCCTCAAGAGCGGCAAGGGCACCAAAAAGCTCCGCCTGGACCCCAGCATCTACGAAAGCATCCAAAAGGAGCGCGTCACCACCGGCGACGTCATCTACATCGAAGCCAACACCGGCGCCGTCAAGCGCGTCGGCCGCAGCGACGCCTACGCCACCGAGTTCGACCTCGAAGCCGAAGAATACGTGCCGATCCCCAAAGGCGAAGTACACAAGAAGAAAGAGATCGTGCAAGACGTCACCCTGCACGACCTCGACGTAGCCAACGCGCGCCCCCAGGGCGGCCAGGACATCATGTCCATGATGGGCCAGCTCATGAAGCCCAAGAAGACCGAGATCACCGACAAGCTGCGCGCCGAGATCAACAAGGTCGTCGAGAAGTACATCGACCAAGGGGTCGCCGAGCTGGTCCCCGGCGTGCTCTTCATCGACGAGGTGCACATGCTCGACATCGAGTGCTTCACCTACCTCAACCGCGCGCTCGAGGCCAAGATCGCGCCCATCGTCATCCTCGCGTCCAACCGCGGCGTGTGCACCATCCGCGGCACCACCGACATCGCCTCGGCCCACGGCGTGCCCACGGACCTTCTGGGACGGCTGCTCATCGTCCCTACGTACCCCTACGACCTCACGGACATACGCACGATCGTGCGCATCCGCGCCAAGACGGAGGGCATCGACGTGGAGGATGCGGCGATTGATAGGCTGGCGACCAGGGGCGTGGGGACGAGTCTGAGGTATGCGCTGCAGCTGCTGACGCCGGCGATGATATTGAGTCGTGTGGCGGGGAGGGCCAGGATTGAGGTGGCGGATGTGGATGAGTGTGAGAGCTTGTTTATTGATGCGAAGAGGAGCGCGGCGATTGTGGAGAGGGGTGGGGATGCGTTTTTGAAGTAGTGGACACGGGGGGGGATTTGGGGGGGGGGGGGGGGGGGGGCGGGGGAATATGGGGGATATGGGGGGGATGGGGGACATGGGAGAAAAGAAGAGGGGTAATGATTGATGATGAGGGATAGATGCCTATTTTTTTTTTTTGTATACTAGTAATTTTTCCAGTGGGGTCTTTTAGCTGCGTTTATGCTTGGTTTCTGTGCGTGGTTATGTGAAAGTGAAGTGAAGCTATGTGACGTGAAGCTATGTGATGTGAGAGAGAGAGTGTGTGTGTGTGTGTGTTTCATGAAATCTCACTCGTCTTCGAGGTGCCTGCCAGACCCGCTGCCTGACCCAACAGCCCAGCGAGAATGATATAATGCCCACTACTACAATTGCAACACATATCCCAGCCAACAACCTTCACCACTAGAAGTAGACCCATCAAGACCAACTATCACACCGATCGTGTTACAATCTCTGCACGCTCTTCTTCCACCCCCAACTAACCCCTTGCTTCAAGTCTTACAGATCTCCACCACAAAGCATGCGCAACACGCAATCAGCGCAGCGAAGAGTGGTGGCGAGTGAGATCCTATGAAGAACACACAGGTGGCCATGAGGTTTTATCTCTACCCCGCCTACGTCGTTCATGGGCGAGGAAGAATATTGAAGTAAATCGGGACGAGGCTACATGTGGCAATGTTCAAGGCTGTCAGATTGGTAGACGCTTGTTTACCATATATTGGGGATTCAGCAACGCCTAAACAGGCGCCGGAAGGCACGGTCCGTGGGCGCGACATGTGGGATAGGAATAGCTTTGGATTCTGGGAGTGTTTGGCATGCCTGGTCGTTTAGCTAGCGGCAGCTACAACATATATCGGCTTAAACGAACCTGGTTTTCAATCATTTCCGCACATCCACACATCACAACAAAACACAACGAAACACAAACGAAAACAAAACTCCAATAGTTACTACCATATGTACAATCACCCCTACGACCCCAACCCTCTCTTCGGCGCCGATATCACGGCCCTTGAAAACACCGCCGAAAGCTCATCAGGCCTGCTATTCGACGGCCTAATTATCGACGGTCCCAGCTCCTCCTCCACCACTACAGGAGCGGCATCATAGATGCCCCCGTGGTCGTCCTGGTCGCTCCCGTACTCTTCGTCGCTGTCGGAGTGGGAGTGCGTATGGGCGTCTTCTGTGTGTTGCTGCTTTGCCGGGGACTTGGTGGAGACGGGGTTTGCAAAGGTCTTGGAGGCGAGGACCTTCTGGCGGAGGTACTCTTGGTACTCGTCTTCGTCGTCATCGTCGGATGGGGGCATGTCAACGTTGCGCCCACTTGTCTTCTGGTAGTCCTCCTCCTCTTCTTCCTCTTCCTCATCATCTTCATCCTCGTCGCTATCGCTCTTCGCCCTCACCACAGGCATCTTATTAAGATTCCCGCCCCCCCACCCCTCCAGGTCCGCATCCTTATTCTTCCTGCTCTCCTCCCACTCCCTCTCCAGCCCCGCCAGCCACTCCTCCTGACACTTCCCCACCGCCTCCGCATCTGCACACGCCGCATATTTCTCCAGCAGCTCCGCATTCATGCGCATAAATTCCTCCCCATACGGAAACGGCCGCAGTATCTCCACCGCCCACTCCGGATGCCCCATGATCGCAAAGCACGCCGCCAGAGCCTCCGCGCAGTTGAGTCGCCACGGCTTCCCGTAGTTAACCGAGTTGGCGGCGACCAGGTAGGGGAGGAGGCGCTCGCAGCGGCCGCCAATCTTGCTGAAGGGGACTTCATCAAGGCGTGCCCAGGAGCACTCGACGACGGCGGCGCCGAACTCTTCGAGTAGGGGTCTGTCGGCTTGGGAGACGGGGCCTTTGCCGTTGGGGCTGGGGGGGGGGTTGTTAATGATTTGCTTTCACGGTGAAGGGGAGGAGATATGGGGGCATACGTGATAATTACGCCACTGAATTTGCGCCCGATGGGGAGGTCGCGCATGAGGCCTTGTCGGATCAGTTTCTTGCCAGAGCATCTCTCAGGGTCGCAGTGACCCAGGTCCCATGCGGCGGCTATATAATACACGTTATATCAACACATCAGTCTTTTTTCCTTTCCTTCTAGTGCGGGAAATTGGTTGCGGCGGACCTTTAAACGGCGGCTTTGGCAGCGGTTCACCATCTTCGCCTCTCTTACCGCCGCGGGGATTGCTGCGGTACCGGTCCTTGCCCTTTGAGTGGTTGTTGTGGTTCTTCTTGACCATTTTGGCGGGTGTGTTTTTTCAGATGTGTGAATATATATTATGGTGGGGGTGTTGTTTGTTGGAGAGAGGTCCGAGAGTGTGGAGCCTTGGCGAGGGTGGGGATCCTAGTCGCGGAGGAATAGCTTAATTCAACGTCATGGGTGGGCCAATGATTGCTATGCGGGTTTTGTGGGCGAGCAATAACTGGGGTGTCGGGACGTAAGGTAGCGGAATCAATCATTGCTTTTCGGGAATCTGTGATTGCTATCTGCGATCATAAAAAGTTGCCAAGGTTTATGCACCATTATTATTCAGCAAGGGGTGTTAAAATGAGACTTTTGGTAGCATCTGGTGTACGGAACCAGTTTTTGTAGAGATACGGTACCCTAATAGACCGGGGTTTGTTTATAATCCTACAGACATACACTTTTCAGTCCTTGAACGAGAACGTTTGAGGTAGCCCCTAGGCTCGTAAATATTGTTGTTAACTCATTGATTAGGCTCGTAGAAAGAAAGGTTCATAAACTTAAACTATTCGGTAATCCCAGAAAGATATACACAGTGTGTTAACCCTTCCAGAAGTACGGAGTCGCTGTCTCTCACAAAGCTTGGATCCGTTGCTGGAAGGAGTTTTGAGAACTATCAGGGGGCAAAGACTGATAAGAATAAGGCCATGAGCAAACAGTAATAAGAATAAGGCCATGAGCAAACAGTGATGATGATGATGATGATGATGAAAGCTAAGACAGCTAATTCAAATCCGTATTTAATGACGGGATAAAAAGTGAAACTATTTAGACCCCTCCTGTCCCGTGTCTTCGTGTCCGGGCCTCTAGTGATCGTGTCCACTTTACTTACCAAGTGTCTTCTCGTATACCTTTGGAGTCAAGTTAAAGTTGAGAGCCCATCCTCATGCATAAAGAAGGCGCCTTTATGTTCCGGCATGTTATGAAGTGGCTCGACTATAGTCTATGTAGTTCCTTCTTCCTCACCTACCAAGCACCCAGGCGCTGCCTACCCTTCTTTGCTTGGCAGGGGCTTTCTCGTACTCTCAGAACACACGCTATAGTTATAGCAGTCGCCAGAAGAAGAAGTCGACGGTCATGATGTACATGTACGTCGTGGTAGATTAATATTATTGAGCTAGGGTTTAGCGAACCTTTTCCAATTTATATTCTTTACAAAATAATAGATAGGAGCCACCGTTCCCTACCTTTTATCATCGACCCTACATATAGCCTTCAATTGCTATCTTAGGAAGGGTATATCTATTCATAATCAAACCCATGGTGCTATATGGGAGCTAGCTGTAGTAGGTGGCTTCTGAGAGACATTTAGAGGAGCGGAGTTCGATCACTCTGTGAAATTTTGGCTTCCCCTTATGGGGTGTTGGTACAAGTTACTAAGAAGCTGGGCTTGGTCCCGCTCTGAAGGCTGAGTAGAAGGTTCTTTAGTTCATGGTTTCCGTTCAATCTGTTCCCTTCCATCAATATTGCACAAGTTTCCCAGTTGCAGTAATTCCAGGCCTATCCAGCATTAAAGGTAAGTCTTAAAGGTTGAAATGGAACAGGCATAATAAACGGTTAAAGAGATATATGTATATGTAGGTATCAACACGAAGTCGTGGCCATGGTGTATATCAAAGATCACCGTGGACTATATTCGAGCTGTGACATAATCGGGGTTCTGGAAATAGGATTTGGAGAAGCCAAGCACAGAGATGCTTTAGGAGAATACAATCGCTTTAGGCCTAACGTCAACCAGAGAACCGGGAAGCAGGGCGTAGAACAAATACACACGGAGGTGTCAACGAATTTCTGATAACGCTCACCACATGAAAGCGCCAAGACCCCCAAGAACCAGAAAAACCCCCGGTAGTTGGACTTAAAAGATGTCTACACTTCATCAGAACCAAACCTTGAATCGTGGTCGATGGTTACCTCGCCCATGCAGAACAGTTCAAAGGCCTATGAAGCTTTGCTACAAGCTTCTTTGCTACAAGCTTCTTTTGCAAGACCGTACCTGGTTGTGCGTGCGTGTACATCGGGATTTTTCTTTTCTGAGCGGATATGCGTTCTACACTGTAAAAACCAATGAGACATGTAATTTCTCGATAGAGTAGAAGCTTAGGCGATATTTATGCATGTTTTGGCGAGGACCCTAGGAAAGCGTTCCCTAAAGCAACGTTAGTGGGGTTGCGCAACAACAACCCCTGCTTTTGCGCCAACGCGTGAATCAAAACATTTGCGCGATTCGTCTGCCTGGCCGTTTCTGTTTCTCTCCCTCCGCTTCTTCCTCCCTTCAAATAACATTCTGTCCTCTGTCTCGTCTCCTCCTCCTCCCCCACATCCCTCCCCGCCCTCCCATCCTTTCCACCTCCATCCGCCCTCACTCCCATACCAAGGTATCTTGGTTTAATCTATCATCCATCAACCTCCACCATCGAATTTACCCCGCCGAACAGCTCTTTTCATCATGTCTGTTGTATCGCTTCTCGGAGTCAACGTGCTCAACAACCCTGCCAAAGCCACCGACAAGTACCAATTCGAGATCACATTTGAGTGTCTCGAAAGTCTTACAAAAGGTAAAAAAAATTCTCTGCGCCTTTGCAGTAGATAGACTCATCTACGTTTTCGTCCTTACTGATACATTTGTTGTCACCAGATCTTGAATGGAAGCTCACCTACGTTGGATCTGCCAACTCGTAAGCTACCCTACTTCCCTGTGTAATTTTCCCCAAAACCCCCAACTTACAATGCTTGTCGTAGGACCGAACATGATCAGGAGCTCGATTCGCTCCTTGTTGGCCCCATCCCAGTTGGCGTCAACAAGTTCGTCTTTGAAGCCGAACCTCCCAATTTCGCTAAGCTTCCAAGCTCTGAGATTCTCGGGGTTACTGTTGTCCTCCTCACTTGTTCTTACGATGGCCGCGAGTTCGTTCGTGTTGGATACTATGTCAGCAACGAATACGACTCAGAGGAGTTGATCAACGAGCCACCTAAGCAAGTTCAGATCGACAGAATCGTCAGGAAGCTTTTGGAAGAAAAGCCTAGGGTCACTAGATTTGCCATCAAGTGGTTAGTTTATCTCTTAATCCTAAAAAAAAAAAATGCGATAAAGATGCTAATAAGAGTTATCGCTTTTTAGGGATTCCGAAGACTCTGCCCCTCCAGAATTCCCTCCAGACCAGCCCGAAGCTGATGAAGCTGAGGACGATGCCGATACTTATGGCGCTGAGGAAGACGAGGTCGAGGTTGAGGGCGAGGTTGGCGAAGCTGTCGACGAGATGGACGTTGAGATGGGCGGTGCCGAAGACACCGCCGGTCCCGTTGTCGCCGGAAAGGACATCGACGAGATCTCCGACGATGGTTCTGAGGATCTCGAGGCCGAGAGCAGCGGCGAGGAGGATGAGGAGGAGGAGGGCGGTGATGAAGAAGACGACGCCATGGTCGACGACGCCCCTGCTGCTGGAAAGCCTGGCGAGGCTTCCGGAAGCCACCCCGCTGCAGCCGCGCATGTTGCCGCTTAATTGCCGCATCAACGCTCACCTATCCTTTCACTTGTCTAATGTCTCCATGGGATACGTATGATATTTTACACGATTGGGTAGATTTAGGTAATTTGTTTGGAAAAGGCTTGTTTGGTATGAATTTTTCTGGTCTTTTGGTCTGTTTTGTAGTACCATAAAAAAAAATAGACCAGTTTCCTTTTATCGGTCTGGTTTGGGGGTATCTTTTTTTCTTAGCTTTTGGAACAGGGGCTGTCTTCTATCATGTTTTCTTATTATTAGGGATGAATTATATACCCACCCCTCCTTCATACGGCGTTTAAATCATTTTTGTTTGATGGATTTGGCCCAGTACTTTTATGTAGAATTTGTTTCTAAACAGGCCGCCGAACCTACTTATTGAAAAACCGTTCATTTAAAAGTTTTCTACACACAAAACAGTCAGGCGAGTTCGTGTACATAACAAAACCTAGATGTGTGGGTGTATAGTATGGTGCGAATATAGAATATTTTCTCAGTGCCTCTTGATGTCATTTGGATGTTGAATTTGAAATTTATCTATGTCAATAACTTCATTCGGTTTATTTGCCTTGACAAACTCGAATGGTTGACTGGTTCAATGATTTGTGTCTACAAATGGTTCTATCACAAGATGCAGGGGTTTCAATGGCCATGGTTGCTGCCTTGGGATAAGGCGGACAGCCGATTTTTGCTCGTGGCCCCATCTAAATTGGTAGGTGTATTCAAGCCGAGACACGCTCTCTCTTATGGGGGCTACCCACACTTGAGACGACTGTATAATCCATAGTACTGTAGGTCGGTTGATGAATAAGAATCACGCACTATCACTCGAATAGATGACATAATTTTCCACGTCCCCGATTAATCACTGGAGCTGCGCTACGCTTAGCGACGCCTTGAAGCATACAGTCGACTCTAGTAAAATAACACTTACTCTGCAAGTGCTCGAAGTCGGGCTCTCAAACCGCTGCGCGGCTTTCGAACCCTCCTTTCCCGCCTTGCAGCTTTGCGGTCAATTCTGCCTTTGCAACCGCCAATTTCGAAGGGCAATTGTCAAAATGACACTTAGGATAAATACGCTCTGTTATGTAAATCTGTAAATCCGTAAATTCGAGTATGAAGTACTTGCGGGGAAATTAAGTAATTCCCTCTGGCTTTACCCATTTGTTATGGTGGTGGTTGGTGGGCTTAAGGAAATGGTGAGGTTGATGGTTGCTATCGCGGGAGACAATACTTAATTTCACCTTTGGCCTACTCTATGAGCGAGCACGATGATGACTAAAGGAAATGACTAAGCAATACCTGGTGTCCAGTGCCTGCTTAACCCTGAAGCAAAATTCAGGGCATATGGTGCATGCTTAACACAGTCCGAATTACTTTTTCCAAGCCAGGCCCGTGGGCCATTCTCCTGATCTTGGGTAGACGAGTCCTGATATGAATCTGGGTACATGAGATTCATCCCGACGGTCACGGGATTCAACTTTGTTTGGTGATCGGGGAAGACACTTTCTTATATATGCTTTTCCCTCTCGCGCCGCGCCCAGATTGTAAAGGCTACATGACATTTTAATTGGGAGTTTTTGATGCTGCCGGAAAGGGTGCGCATGTCGCTGAGTAAGTACCAGGCTCGTCCCCTTCCCCCCTAACAGCAAGTAGCTTGTTGCTCGTAGGGGATGAGCACGGGACCAAGTAAGTACCTACATGAGGCCACAGATCATTACTGTGACTTCAGAACTGAAAGAGGTTGGAGTCAAGGACGTTGACATGACTGTTAGATGTCAAGATACCGTCAATACTAGTAAAGACGAAGAGGGAAGATTGACGTCTAGGTGCCTACCTTAGGAAATTGGTGTTGATCGGGACAAAGGGATTCACCAAACTTCTCCAAAATACAGAGTTGAATGGTCGTGTGGCTCAAACCAATCACTCGGTCATACCACCTGATTCGGTCACGTGTAGGATAATAGACCTAACCCTGGTTTCGCAAAGCTCTGAAGTCGCTGTTTGTGATCTCTACAAGTTCAACGAATTTGTTCACAACCAAATTTCTATGTTAATGCCCCGTTTCCCAGTTCGATACAGTACCAGATCAAAAACGTTATAATACTCCTGCTTTTCATTATCTATCTCTCGAGACTGCTGAAGGTCCCTACAGCTTGCTGGCAACTATAGGTATTAGCGAAACGCTAGGGTACGTCACTGCCAAGGCTTGGACCGAACCCCACAACCCCCCCAAACTCAAGTTACTTCTTTAACAGCTCTAAACCACCGAGACCCTGATTGACAGTCAGCAATGGAGTTCTTACGATCAAAACAGGCTGGGATCCAACGGGATTTCACTGGAGGCCTTGCGGCTCCAGATTTATTTGTTATTGACGAGGTGCGGTCTACTTTCTAACCCGACTGTGTCAAGCCTCTGCTAATATACGCGCGTCCCATAGGTCGCAAAATACGGCATCAGGTCCACAATATCGGCTCTTGCGTATGACCCCATACAGTCTCTTTTTGCTGTCGGCACGAATGAAACAGCCACCTCGCCTGGGAAAATCCATGTTTTCGGCCAGAAACGAGTTCATGTCACCTTCACACTACAGCGAAAGTCGAGTGTCAAGTTCCTGAAGCTCTGTGACTCAAAGATCGTAGTTGTCGACAATAGGAGCGAACTTTCCGTCTATGATATGAGAGATCCAGGCGCTGAGGGGGTCAAGTATTCACCACCAGGAGCTGTGACCTCGATCTTGACCGACCCGTCCCTAGACTGGGTCTTTCTAGGGTTGGAAAATGGCGATATTGTGACTTATGATCTTGACAGAGAGATTTTGTCCCCATTTAGGATACCAAATCTCTGGAGAGAAAGGTCGCCGAAATCAAAATTTCTTCCAGTTGTATCATTAGCTCTGCACCCTCGTGATGTGGGAACTCTTCTAATCGGGTATCTGGAAGGTACTGTCATCCTTTCCATGAAACAAGAGAAGGTGCTGCATTATCTTCAATTTGAACTACCGCCTGGAGCTCCCGGGGCAGATACAGAGCGAGGCACTATATACAGTCTGCGCCGACCCAACGTTGTGGAAGCGCTTTGGCATCCTACGGGCACGTTTGTCTGCACAACTCATGATGATTCATGTTTGGCTATTTGGGATCCAAAAGATGGAAGAATCGTGCAGTCAAGAACTACCACAGATTCGTACGTTCATCTTCCCGGCACACCGCCCAGCGCAGATATGTTTGGCGCTGGTGGTGATGGCGATGTATTTTCTATCAGACAACCTTTGTTCAAAGTCGCCTGGTGCTCCACGAATAATCCCGATGAAACTAGCATTCTCATAGCCGGTGGTAATCAATCTTCAATGCCTGTGAAGGGCATGACTTTGTGGGATCTGGGAGTGACCCCAAACATGCTCACCTCATCGTATCAAATTATATCAGATTATTTTGCCTCCCCTAAACGCCAGCGCTGTCTCCCGACGCCTATTGATGTGGATGTAGTCGACTTTTGCCTCGTTCCTCGTACAAGTCCCCATTACGCTGGGTCTCATGATCCTATGGCCATCATCGCCTTGCTCTCATCCGGGGAATTGACAACATTACGTTTCCCTGATGGCCAGCCACTATCACCGGCTACAATTCTTCATCCGTCGCTTTCATTGTGTCATCCGTTTGCTACATATGCCAACTTATCAGCTATAAACCGTCAGCGCTGGCTCGGAATGATTGAGAAACGCGACAAGCCCAAAGAGATGATCGTTGGAGGTATTGAGCACCCCAAACCGCTCAGGCGATATGAGAATCGTACAGTTGTGCAAACTGCACATACTGATGGAACAGTCAAGATATGGGATTTGGGCCTCGGAGATGAGATTGAAAACGGAGATATGATGGAGGTGGATTTAGGACAAGTACTACAGAGGGGTGTAGACTTGAAGATTGAGTGCGTTTCAATGGCCGGTGCGACTGGAGAAATGGCTGTTGGGATGGAAACCGGCGAAGTGGTCATTTATAGATGGGGAATAAATAAGGGGTTTGGGCGCACCAAGGAAGACGAGTCTTTACAGTCGGAGAGTAGAACTGAAACGGGTACAGTCGTGGAAGGGATCCGGAATGTCCAGATGAGAACAGACCCCAGTGTTAGGGAGGGCCTGTTGCCGCTTTGTACCCTAGAGCAACACTGCGGATCTATCCTAAAGCTGAAATGTAGTGATGTGGGGTTTGTAGCAGTGGCATATCAGACTGGGCATATCAGTGTGTTGGACCTGAGGGTATGTTAAATTACCTAGTATGGTTCTCGTATCCATCCTAATATTCATTCTAGGGGCCTGCTGTAATATTCCATGGAAGCCTTAATTCGTTAACAAAGGAAAGTAAAAGGGCTAGCTTTAGAAAGAGCCGGGATCACAGTATTGATGGGGAGAAGGCCACTTGCTTGGAATTTGGAGTCCTTACACTGGAAGGCGATGGTGAGTGACTTTAATGACGCCTTATACCACTCTTCTAACCAATAAATTCTAGAATTTTCGAGCATTGCACTTTTTGTGGGATCCACCCATGGTCGGATTGCAACTTTCAAAATTCTTCCCCAGGGCCAAGGATTCACTTGCACTTTTGCAGGTATGACGCACATGGACGGATCTGTTGTTTCAATAGTACCCATAAACTCGGACTCCGGGAAGCGTGCATACGCTTCTCAACAGGCAGTTGCAAATCTGCGCGAAGGTATCAAAGTTCCGGGTACAGTGGTTGCTGTCACAAAATCAGAAGCCAGAATATTCAAGCCACCGACTGCGAAGGGTGCCCATAAAGGCTGGGACGAGTACTCGTGCTTGAGCGCTGTGGTAGCAGAGCTCGATACCCACGGTATCTGCTTGAGTTGCGTGATGGATACCGGTGTTGTGAAGAGCTTCTCGATTCCTGGATTAAAGGAAATCGGTGAAGTCAGGCTGAGCGATTACTATGACCCGTCACGCCTAGCGGATACAATTCTGCTTGATTCTGGATACATCTTTGGGTGGACTTCGCAAGCAGAATGTATGCTACTTTATATGTGGGGTAAAGGTCAAAGGCTGTTAGTATTATCTTCCCGGAAGTCTATATCCCGTATTTGGGTCGCTAACCAAAACTTACAGCGACCATTTACCGAAAGATGTGCTTTACAACCCCGAAGCCCCAGTCCCGACTCGTCCAACGATCTCAAACTTTCAGTGGATCTCTGGAACACAGCATGTCACACCCGCAGACCTTGACCTCTTGAGTAATTATTTCCTCGTATCAGAGTAATATTTCTTCGGCGGCTAATGAGGTCTCACAGTCGGAGGTCCTGACCGTCCCATGTCCAAGAAAATGATTGAGCAGATGCGTGCCGAAGAGAAACAAGCACGCCTCGATGCACGGGCCGGAAACCAAGCCGGTGGTACCGGAAGGCAAGAGGAGGGCATATTCGCAAGTATGAGCAGGTCGATACAGGAGCGAACTGAGAAGTTGAACCTCGTAGGTGATAGCATGGATAAGTTGGGAGAGACGTCGGCGAGTTTCGCGGACGACGTGGGTAAATACGTCAACCAACAGAAGAAGAAAGCCATCCTTGGGAGTAAGTTCGATCTGGGCGATTTTATGCTCCCCCTTTCCTCTTCATTTGATGTGATGAAAGATTGTTAATGCCTTCTACGCGTGTACTAGGCATCACCGGGAAATGGTTTTAAAGTATGACATCAACAAGATGTGGATATGCCGCCTCCGAAATTGACTGAGGGGGGCAAGTGTAGTTGTTGGTGTTTGGGATTAGTCTCTCTTCACGCGTTGTTTAATTATACCATCTGAGAATACCAGGCGTACTTTTTTTTTTTTTTTTTTACTGTAGAGGGTTGTGCCAAGATGTGATAGTTTAGATACTCCTAGGTCATGAATGATCACTCGGTTTCTTGCCGCCCCGATGCGCAAGGTCAATTGACTAGAAGAAAGATTTGATGCACAAGGGCCGGAAACTTCTCGACCTAGAATATCGAATTACACCTAGCGAAAGCCGATCGAACTCACATTAACTCAATATTTAATGCTGTGATTAGCTGAAATATCTTAACTGAATTCAAGCTCGGCTGGTCTAGTGGTATGATTCTCGCTTAGGGTCACACCCTAAGTTAATATGCGAGAGGTCCCCGGTTCAAACCCGGGGTCGAGCCTAACATCATTTTTGCCTTTTTGACATAAGCAGCGGCCACACTCGAATCGCGATAGCACAAGTAATAGAACATAATTATTGTAAACCTATTTACATGGTGCAAACGATAGTAGTAAAATGGTTTCTAGGGAATCAATTGATTCCACATCCATTTTCCCTCTTGAACGATGGAGCGCGTCATGGATCTCTACAGTTGGAACTTACCATTACCGGACCTCTTCCAACTTCAACCACACCTAGCAACCTTCAAGATGTCCGAAAACAAGAAGCGCAGAGGCCGTCACAACGACTCAGAGTCAAATAAGAAGAATAAGGCATGTGTCACGAATCATAGCTCAAACCCAAAACATTTTATTACTCTTCAAGCGATTGAGGCTGACGGAAAAAACCCTACTGTACATAGACCAAGGGCTACTGGTCGAAAGCGTCAAAGAACTTCCAGTCCATCACCGGGATCGACCCGGGCATACAGGGCATTTTCGCCACTTGCGAGAGAGGGCGTGAGCCGAAATGTGTGGGCGAGCTGTATGGGCTCTTTGAAAAGGTCCGTTTTGAAGGAGAGGAATAGCAGGAAGGAGGAAGAAGAAGAAGATGCTGACCGTCACTATAATTAGTGCGCAAAAGAGCTTTATGGCCTTGATCCTCCAGCCGAGGGAGCAGGGAATGAGGACGAAGAGGAAGAGGAGGACATTGAGGCTGCGATTCAGCGCGAGATCTCAGGCCTTAAGGAGAAGGGTGACAAGTCGAAGAAGCTCTTTCTGAATGTGAAGCTCGACTTGGACTGTGGTCAGTTGATCCAGACTCCAGAGCTGATTCATCATCCACCACCCCCCCTCGCCCCTTTTGCCCCTTTTCACCCCCTCCTCTTTGTTTGGCGGGGGTGGTGGAGGGGAAGGTCGCTCGCTTATCGGTGATATTGACTGGCTGACACTTCTGGCGGGGGCCGTCATGTAGTTGTGTTTTTCCGTACAAAGGAACCATGTGTGCCAACGGAAATGGTACATGCACTTCTCTCGGGCAAGGTCCAGAGTCAGAGCATGTGGACACACCGGCTGACGCCGATCTCAAGGACCGGGAAAGCGACCCCCGAGGGGCTTGAGGAGGTCGCAAGGGAGGTTCTCAAGCCTCACTTCCACGAGGAGGGACAGGAGGTGGTTAAGGTGCGTCTTCCGTCACTACCGGCTTGCTCATCTGTTCTTGAGAATTGCGGAGGCCGGTATCTCCCCGATTTGCTCGCTTATTGAAACATTACGGGGATTTTAGTATGCCATCCGACCTACCTCTCGCAACCACAATGTCATGAGCAGAGACGACATCATCAAGAAAGTTGCGGATATTGTGGGCCCGAAGCACAAGGTTGATCTCAAGAATTACGATGTTCTAATCCTCGTCGATATCTTCAAGGTGGGTCTTTCTCTCTCTCTCTATCTGCTTCCCTTGTTCCTATTTGCTGCCTTAGGCGACACAGGCGATAAGGCGCGTCTGCAGCCAGCCATCGTTTGTCCCCTAGTACATTTATCGCTAACCATGTCCAATGAGTGATATCTGCCACAGAACATCTGTGGAATGAGCGTCGTGAGGGACTTTGAAAAACTTGGAAAATACAATCTCCAAGTGTCCCGTCAGCTGCAAAGTGGCGAGAAAAAAGACCGGCGATAAAGAAGTCAGAAGCGTCAGAAGCGTCGGAGAAAAAAGGCAAAAGTCCTCAGAAAATTGCAGATAATGAGAATGGGGGCGGAGAATGATGTGTAACATACAAACATACAAAACGGCGGATTACTACTGGGACTTTAACGATTTTCCTCCTCTCAGATCCTTTCAAACCGTTGCAGTCCATCTATTTATTATTCCTTGGCATCAATAAGAACATATATAAACATTGCATATGGGGGCCAGCCAGCCAGGCTACTCCATAGGCTCATAGGCCCATAAGAAGAGAGAACATCAACAATCATTTGCTACATGCATACATACTTGCTGGGAGCAGCGTAGGGCCCCAGTGTCTGTCTACCACTTATTATTTTATTATTACGCAACAACGCCTAGGCGCTGCAACGTTGCACGAAAGTTCGCCAAAATCGCCAAAACAGTGGCTCGGGCCAAGCCATCCGCTCCCGAATGAGGAACAATTTGGCGAATTCAAGGGCGGCCCGCCTGCCTGGTTCGATAGACTAAACCTTGGTGCCGGAGCTTATCCTCTCTGTCTGCATCATTGGCGTTTTCTCCCTTTCATTTCCGATTTTATTTTTTTCTTTCTCTTTCTCTCTTGGTGCAAGCCATCAAGCACGTATGGACGAGGAGAGGGAGGGAAGGTCTCACCATCTCAGCTCAACTCAACCACTTACTGGCTTAACGTATGCAATGCTGCTTTCCATTTTGTACAAATACCCCTTGATATCTCTCTGTGCCTGCCCGTGAAATTATGTAGTTGTTTATTCCAAACCCATTGGTATCTTCCCGCTATCGATCCTGTATCTCTCCCCCACCATGGTCCAGAGCGTCGAGAGTTTCTGGCTGCAAAGCATGTCAGAAGCCCAAAAAATCATTGATACTGCCTTCCCCAGCAATTCCCAGCCCATAACCTCAATCACCGAGCTCCTCGACGGCGCCTACAATACCTCCTACCTAATAGAGCTCCAAGGCGGGTCAAAATACGTTCTCAAGATCGCACCCCCGCCAGACGTTCGTGTACTGCGCTATGAGAACTACATTCTCGAAGCAGAAGCTTCGGCCCTACAGCTGATACGTGAAAAAAGCTCTGTGCCGGTTCCCGAGCTAGTCATATACGATGACACCTGTGAGATCCTCGACTCCCCTTACATCCTCATGACCTACCTTCCTGGCGTAACACTCGATAAGCTCCGCCCCACCCTGTCAAAATCCGAGTCTGATGCAATTGACTATTCCGTTGGCCAGCACATGCACCAGCTCGGGCATGCGCCCGCCGCCGACCGAAAGTGCTTTGGTGGGGGCGTGGATAAAGCAAAGCTCTACACCTCATGGCGGGAGTGTTTTCTCGCATTGACAGAAGCCATACTACGGGACGGGGAGGACATGCTGGTACTGCTGCCCTACGAGCAGCTGCGGCAGCAGTTTAGGAAATGGGCATATACGCTCGATGAAGTGGTGCAGCCACAGCTGGCGGTTCTGGACTTTGGGGACGGGAGTGTGCTGGTGGATCCGCAGACTAAGAAGGTGACGGGTATTATCGATTTTGAGAGGGCAGGCTGGTTTGACCCGTTATTGTCTGCGGCGTTTAGAGGGCCCTCGGCGGCGTTTGTGGAGGGATATGGGAAGGGTGTGTTGGATACAAGAAATAAGAGGTGCCGGTTATTAATGTAAGCCTGCCTGTTGATTCTGTCCCCCCTGGTCCGGTGTGTTTGCTGTGTGGTGGGCTCTGTTTGCTAAATCTCAGTGTCTGATATAGGTATTCGTGTTATTACTCAACCATCAAGATTGTGGAGGCATATTACCATCAAGCCGAGGACAGCAATGAAATGGAAGAGCGGAAAAATCTCATAAAGTGTTTAAATTCTCTAGTCAATTGGACAGCTGAGTAGTAGTAGTAGTAATTTGATATCGTTTCTTTTATAATTGGATATGGATAATAAGAACCTGGGGATAAGAATAACTCCCAATAAATTCGACCCATGAATACTATACAAGAGAACACCACCCATTCAGATACAAGAAAAGCAATTAACACCCCTAAAAAGACATACCAGTTATGTTACAAACTCGTAAAGCATTCATAACCAATAAATCATGTAAGTAATTTCATTAAAAACCTAAACCTAAACGCCTTCTCCTCCATTATGTTTTGCCAGCCGCCCCTCGTCTGGTTAGCTCCAGAGATTTAGCCAACGAAGTCTTCAATTCTTTGCTCTCCGCCCAACTCCGTTGAAGTTTACTATTCACCTAGTTAACACATTATCTTTAGTAGAAACAGGGGAAATGTCAGAACTAACCTGATCCGGATCCCCGCAATGAGTGTATGCACCACTGAACGCAATGAAGGTCTCTTCTCGCGTATGTAGCGATCAGGGAAGATGCCCATCTGCTCAATCAACTGCATATTTGCCTCGTTACTGTAATATAAACTGTCAGCGGATAATTCTTGAGTGGTTACAGCCGACATCACTTACCATGCGCTGTAGAGGTTGATTTGCATCAAAAAGAAATTCTTGCTGAACGACAAATCTGCTCTAAACCCAGCTTCTCGGGCAACCTTGGCCCGGAGATAGCGAATTTGCTTGGCCAGCCCCTTGATTTCAGCTCTGTGTCGTACCTCCGCCTGCCCAATCTGGGTTTCGAGGGTTTTGGCATCGGCATCTGTCCGCGCAGTTTCACGCCTGCTAGTGCTCTCTGAGAATCGGACCCGCTGCTTGATGGCCCTACGCTCCTCGTCCCACGCAGCCTGTAGCTGTGCTGTCTTCTCAACGGCTTTTTGATAACGGCGAGTGACTTTCTTCAAGTCTTCTGAGGTTCCTTGAAAAATAGAGTCAAGTTGGCTCTTTTCCTTTCGTAGGTTCCTGACTTGCGCATCAAGCTCCTTCTCCTTCTTGCGACGAATGCGTATCTCCTCGTCCCGAGCGTTCATTTGCGCTTGCAATTGCTCAATCTCCAGTGTTGCAGTCCGGATACTCTCATGAAGTTCTTGCCGCTCCTCTGCAATCTGTTGCTGGGCAGTTCTGGTATCCTCTGAACTCTTCAGGTGTTGGTCCAGTTTAGCACTATGCAGCTCTCTTTCCAAGGCATGGATTCGCTTCCTGAGTTCACCAACTTTACCACCAACTTCAAAATTCTTGCGAACCATGGCTTCGTTACTTTCCCGGATTTCAGCAATTTCCTGATCTAGCAAAGACTTTTCGATCTCAAGTTGCTCGTATGCAGCCTTCTGGTCGCCGTTCTTTCGTTCCAGGGTCTTAACCTTGGACCGGTATTCCCGGATTTGTTCTTGACAAGCACTAATTTGTCGTCTGAGTTCCTCGACCTCGGACTTCCTGCCCGAACGGGGCGTGCTTCCCATGGGAGGTGACTGAAGTACAGCAGCGTTCTTATTATCAAGCAACTCGCGGTCAAGCTGGTCAACTTGATGGCGGAGCTCACGGACTGTCTTCCTACTCGCTGCTTCTTTTTGGACAAAGTCATTTTCCCGCTTCCTTGCATCCGATAAGCTGGCACGAAGAGTTTCTAATTCCAGCTCAAGGCCACCATCTTGGCGGTCCAGTTTGAGAAGTTCGTCAATTCTGGCTTCAAGGCGGGAAATATCGCGCTGAGATGCTTGGCGTTCGCTTTCACGTTCACTCATAAGCGATTTCAGTTGGCTCTTGAGTTCTCGGACTTGATTCTCGAGTTTGATCTCTTGTTCCTGAGCAGTGTCGATGGCATCTTGAAGATCTGCCTCCAGATCACTGGCTCGCTGCTCAAGAATTGCACGTTCGTCTTTTGCCCTTTGGAGGTCGATCTCAATTTTACTCTTTGCCTTCCTTAACTCCGCTTTCTCGTGATCGAGATGCTTCGAGGAATCGGCCTTATGTGATAGTTGTTGAAGCTGGCTCTTCAATTCATCCCGCTCAGCTTCAATTTCCATGGTTGTAACTCGGAGGGCATTGGTTTGAGTGTTGGCCTTTGCAAGCTGCTCTTGTAGTTGCTGCTTCTCTTTCTTAACATTCTCGAGACGCCTGGTAGCGTCTTGAATATCCTCCTTGAGTGCTCTCTGTGTTTGTACCTCTAGTTCAAGGTCTCCCTTGACTGCCTGTGCCTCGTACCGGGCCTTGCCGTGCTGGTTCTCAAGTCGACTGAGCTCTAACTTGGTGGCATTGAGCTTCTGGCGAAGGGTTTCCACTTCAGCTTTTGCAGCATCGATTTCTTCGTCTGCGTTATCCTTCTCCTCGTCGAGTTGAGCGCTGAGCAGTTCCACTTCATCGTCTAGATATTTGACTTTCTCCTCTAAGGCTCTCTCGGCTTTTCTTGACAGCCTGAGCTCCTCCTTGGTAGCGTTATGCTCGGCAATCTTGACATCAAGAGCAGCCTTTCTTTCTTCAATCTCGTCTTGGAGCTCGAGAATTTGTTGGTTGAGACCAGCTTCTTCTTTCTTATGCCTTTCATTCTCAGACTTCAACGCACTGACCAACTAAAATTCAATGTTAAATTAGTATCAATTGTGAGATTCGGAAATGAGGTTTACCTTAGTTTCTTTTCCTTGCGTTGAACTTTCAGCCTGTTGTAGTTGCTCAATTGTCCTCTTAAGATCTTCGGCAGTGGTCTCGGCCTTTTGTATTCTGATCTCTAGCTGGCGCTTCTCAGATTGCCAGTTGGAAATAGCACGTTCATACTGCTTCTCCTTCTCTGCAAGCTCTCTGTCCATCGCCTCGAGCTCTTCGTTGAGGCTGCTCTTATCTTCCTCCCATTCCCGTCTCAGGGACTGTTCACTTGCTTCCGCCATCTGCCTTTCTCTTTGCAATGTCAAGTTTGCTTCCTGGAGGTTGCTCCTCAGCTTATCAACTTGCCTCTGAAAGTCCTCTGACTCTGTTGTCAAGGCATCATGACGCTGACGAATGAGTTCTTTCTCGGCCTGTATATCATGAAGATCTGATTGGGCTTTACGGAGGGCCGCTTCAAGTTCGTTACGAGACGCCCGGACTCTACGAAGTTCATTTTCGAGTTCGCTACGAGAACTGTTGATGGCGGAGTCCTTTTCCATGGCTAGACTCTGCATATTTGATTGAGCCTTGCGAAGCTCCACCTCAATTTCACTGCGGGCCGATCGAGCTTTACGCATTTCCAGCTCCAGCTCCTGGTGAGATCTTTCGATAGAGTCTTTCTCCGAGGTAACAAGCTGAAGATCTGATTCCAGTTTTCGCACCTTCCCTTCAAGCTCAACGCGGGACTTGCTGATAGTATCTCTTTGACGCTTAGCATCATTAAGTTCCTACAATCGTCAGTTTTATTGCACATAAGATTAGCAGTCTCAAATAGCACATACTGTTTGAAGAGTTTGAAATTCGCCATCAAAGTCACCATTTAGCTGCTCTAATCTAGACTTAAGGCGCTGTGTCTCCGCAGCCCTCTCTTGGTGAAGTGCTTGCAGGCTATCATATTCTTGGCGAAGCTGTTCCAATTCTCCTTTAAGATTCTCCCTCTGATTTTCACGCTCGCCTATCCTGCCCTTGTAGGCAAAGCTCTTGTTGCGAGCCTCATCGCGAAGCTTTTCGAGGGTATCTTCAAGATTCTGCTTTTCATGCTCCAGCCTTGTCTGGTTGTTCCGAATTTGTTCATTCTCAGTCTGGACTTTTTTCTTTTCTTGAAGAACTCTAGATTTCTCTGTTTGTTCGTCTTCGATGTTGTTTTGAAGATCTCGAACCAGCTAAGATGGATATTATTAGAAGCCATATACACGTTGTCATATGATTAAAGAGTAATACCTTTTCGTAGTCCCTTATTTTTTGCTCCGCTTTTCGGAGTGCCTCATCTTTCTTTACTAATTGTTCATCCCTATCACCCTGCTTACCTTGTAGCTCTTGCTCCATTGCTTTAAGCCTTTCCTGTAAAGATTTGGTATCACTCTTTAGCTCTTGGATTTCACGATCTTTGCCCTTGAGTTCGGCATCAACACCGTCCAACTCGGCTTCACGCTCATCGAGAAGACGATCTTTCTCTCTTATCTCAGTTTCCAGTTCAGCCTTCTCTTCTTCAACCTTCTCTAGCTCCTTATTTAATTTCTGTACCTCCTCGTCATCTTCCTCCTCCATGTTGTCCACCTGTTTCTTGTAACCCTGAGCTTCTTCACGGAGTCGGTCATTTTCATCCAAAACTTCATCGAGTTCCTTTTCTTTTGCCTCCAATTCTTTCTCTTTTTTCTGCAGCTCTTTATCCTTCTCCTCCAGTTGTTGCGACATCTCCTGAAGAGCCCTTGCACGTTCCTCGCTCCGTCTGCCGTTGTCGTAGCCCTTTTGCTTGCTATCCTGGATCGACATCATTTGTTCACGAAGCTCGGTGATAGCTTTTTCGGAATCATTGAGGGATTTTCGATATCGTTTAAGCTCCGCTTTGAGAGTAGCTCGTTCGACTTTAATTTCTATGTTCTGCTCAAAGAAAGAGAAAAAAATATGATTAATAAAAAAAGATTTGATCGGCATTGTAAAGAGCTTTGGTCTCACTTCTTTAATGGCTTCCTCATTATGCTCAGGCCCTAGTTTCTTCAGTCGTTCTTCCATAAAAACAATCTTGAGCTTTAATCCAAAATTTTCCTTCTTAATCTCATCGATTATCTATTTCAAGAGTATTTTAGCAATCCGTCCTTTTTTAAGCGGCGAAATTAAGGATGACACACCTTCTCT